AATGATAACCGTTGATAGGTATATGGATGCATATCAATCTGACATAATCTACTCCGGAACTTAAATCTACGTACTGAGGAAACATGAATGTTTTTTCCTGTGCCGAAAATAGACGGAGCCAATGACCTTGGATGAGTCAGCACATCACAAAGGCACTCGACCAGCCCGACCTGTCGTCGCAAGACGGAGTTCAGCGTCGCCCCACATGATGCAACATTATTTTCGCCGTTACCAGGTGCCGTTTGGATCAACTCCCGCCTTCCACCGTTGAAACTACGGAAACGTCATACCTGGCGTTGTTTGCGTCATCATTGCAGGGACTTTCCGACGGTTACCGCCCCAGCGTAGTGTCTGAGCCACCAACGGACTGCATGACGTCAGCAGAACCAGCCGACGCTGGCCACTCCCCGACTCTCTGCGCTAACCAACGAGCCACAGCAACACGGCCACGGTCCGAGCCAGGCCTTTATACCATGGACTGCCGCAGTGATCTTATGTAACATCTACACACAGAATACAGACGAAAACAGGGACCTAGAAACAATTGAGGTCGCGCTCCCGGTGTAACGAGTAGACATCCTAAGAAATTCCGCGATGTGGGATGGCTTTCCAGCCCAGGAGTACCTAACTCTGATAACGTCACAGTATGACGTCACAAAGCTTCTGTCAAGGCTAGTTTCTGCAGGCGCCCGGTCCGTCATACTGGACCGGCAGCAGGTGAAACACCGGACCAAACCGTCAGCTCGGTAACGATAGAGCGGAGCGCCCGGCACAGCTCAGAATGATAAACAGCGAATGATAATAACTCCCGAGTACACTTCTGATATTGACATTTTCCTTCCTAATGACATTTCCTCATTTAGCAGCATCTGGGTCTTACGTAACCAGTTGAACAAAACAAAGTTTCAACAGTGTAGTTCCGAATGCCGAAGATAAGATAAGTAGAGCCAACGCGTACTTATAAATAACTTGTCGCCTAAATAAAAGAACCATAACGAACCATAACCGAACCGTGAGAGAACCAATACCACAAACACTTCCGCAAACTAAGAGAGTCAGCAACCACAACCGCGATCACTAGCTCCTCAGTAGCTAAGGCCAAGAACCATTACCACCTGCGTCCCAGGCGAACTCTTAGCATCAACGCCTCTTCCCCTCCCCAGAAACTCCCCAGTCGCGAACCCCACTCAATGCTTCGGCGAGGACCCATATCAACATCCGCGAGTTAGGGTTAGATAGGGCCTCTCACCTGACGTCCTCCTCAGAGGCCAGTCCGATGAGCAGGCGCGGCCTCTCGAGCAGGTCGCCACCGAGCTCCATCCCTGCCCAGGAGCGCGGCCGGCCCCGGCTTGTGTACACGCTCCCCTCATGGTGGTCCTCATCCACGCTGACACAGCGCACCGGTGGAGGCGGCGCCGGTCGGCTGGGGCGCCGCTGAGGGCCGGCAGTCCGACCATCGGGGGTCCTCTGCCGCCGCTCCGGCTCCGCGCTGATGTCGGGAGTCGAGTCAGGTCGCCCTCCGGAGCCCTGCTGCCGCCGGAGGTCGCAGTCGGAGGTCTGTCTCCAGCGCCACGTCCCATCAGAGGCCCGCTCGCCGCTGTCGCCTGCAGAACGCGGAGCGCCGCCGCTGCCTGTAGAGCGCGACCGGTTAGGCCAGGCGCTTCTGGAACGCGGCGGAGTCCGCGGAAAATCCCGGTCGGAGGCGTCACTCTCGGAGCCGCCGCTGAGGTCCTCTCCGCTGAGATCACCACTCGAGCCGGCGCTGGAGGAGCCGCGCCAGGAGGCACCTGCCGAGTCGCCGACGCGTCGTGAGTCAGCGCTGCGGGTGCGCCGCGACTCAGGAGGCTGGCGGCGCAGCGGCGGAGGCGTCAGGCTGATTCGGATCCCGGTGCGGTAGACAGCCGGCTTCGGCGGGTGCTCCGGGGACGGCTCCCGACACGGGTGGAACACGATGTCCGGCACGCGCATAGTTCACACCGTGGAGTAGCGGTCTCCGGTGCAGGCACTACCGGATTCAAAAACAATGGCAGAGACAGTACTTCTTCCTCAGTAGCAGCGTCCAGTTGAGATGCCCTCAGAGGCGATCAACAGATCAGTGGAGCCAAAGAAGATCAGCACATCGGACTGCTGAAGTCTGCTGTTTGAATCCCGCTCAAATGTTGACCAACCGCAATTCACTCCAACAAGGAAAGGCACACAATCGGCCGCTCGGAGGCTCTCGCTCCGACGGCGAAAGTTCCGAGACCCAGTCACGCACAGAGTGACGGTGCGCACCGACCACCACCACCTTCTGACGACGCACAGAAGACTGACGACGGGCACTCTTCTCGTCGAGCCGCGCTAATCAGGGCCCCACGGCAGTGCGTTTTTCCCTCCAGCCGACCAACCCGTCTAACGAACGAAGGGGCAGGTCAAGGCGGCGCGGTTGGTGCCGCCGGCGCCGGGCTGATCGTATCAGCCGCCTGCCGCCCCCGCGTGCACGTGACCCGCGCCACGGAGCATTCAATACGCACGTGCCCCGTGATCAGAGACCAAAGGACGGCACGTGGCCGGTGTCTGAACTGAACGCATCCCGTTATCAGCGCCAATGTCAGAACAGCAAACACGGCAGCCTGACATGAGTAAAGTCAACTTCAACGTTGGGCTACAAGCTCGAAGACGTGGCACATAACTGACATGGAGCCGAGACTTGTCATGAATTCAGCATTGAGAAAGAAAACTGCAATTGTTCATTAGACATGAAAAACGACATTAATCTTTACAACGGCCTGGCAGCCTGAACCAGGGTTTAGCAATATGTCTGAAAACAATTCACAAAGGTATAGGTACCAATACACTTCCGGGTGGCAGCTTATGAATGATCCAACGTCACTCTTGCATTTATTTGTTCAATGTCTCCCCACATCTCGACAAAGCTCCGTAAAAAGACGACCTGCAGAGTGGCAGCCAGGGGCGGCAATCTTCGCCTGCATTACCATATCTTAGGCACGCTCCATGCAGATGGCAAAAACAAACCCAATTACCGCTGACCACAGTGACTTTTTGTCACATCCGGCGGAGGTCGGCGGTAGACCGGCGCGGATGGAGGGCAGGGCCTGCAGTTCGCGACAAACGCGCCGAAGGTACGCATCTGCTGGACCTTCATTTAGTAATAAACAGGGTTATGATCATATAAATCAAATGGCCGAATCAGAATTCAGAGCCGCCACTAACAGTGCTTGATACACCTGGTGGAATAGCAATTCACATGTGATTAGGTACTCTTTTCTGATCTGGTATTATATATTTTACAGATAAACATACAGCCTCCAAAAAGGAATAGCTACCAAAGACCACTTGCTAATGCAATCGCACACATGCTTAGAAAATAAGCCTACTTTAATTTTGGAGCTCATTTGACAGCAAAAAATAATTGGTCCATCTGGAATGCAAAAAATATGATTCTCCCACTGCAAGGCAAATTACTTTCCTTGTGGCCTTGAAAAGATACCCTGTCTTGCTTCCAAAGTTCTGATCTAGCCACCATTCACGTTGAGTGTGGAAACATAGTGTGAGGTTCCTTCAGTTCAACAGGTGCAACCAGCACCTGGTAGGGAAAGTGCAATGTAAAAAGCAGGCAAGCAGTGCACCAACAATCAGTCAAGAAACCAAAATGGAAGCAAGAAAGCTGATAACTTCCTGTGACTTCTACTGTAACACTGGCAATTGCCTTTGTTGTTGTCACATCCCTGCATTGCTGACAGCAGTTAGCAACACATTGGGATATACAGGTAGCCATGCTGCTCCATAGTGATGCTTAGTGGTGACATGGACATGGGTCTTCACATGTTCTTAGGAAATGGCAGCCTACCATTTTCATCATACCAGTCATCAGTCATTGGGTCACCCAAAATAAATTAAAAACCACCTCAAAGCCCAGTGGGAACAACTATACCTTCAAAATCAATATGCTTGATCTCAGCATAAAAACTGCATAGGATCCTACTGAAAGTAACTGTGGCTGCATTCTGCAAAGCATGGTATAAAAGCTAGGTAACTATCAGAGGAGAAACCATGCCAGCTTGCATTAACCAGACTGGAAATACATCACATACACATAAAAAGAAATGGACCACTTGATTCCAACCAGGAGTCCCAAAAATCTCTCATAAGCATACCATTATTGGTTTGATATTAAAAGCAAATGCCAGAGTACAGCATGCCACCATGCTATGCACACAAAACTTGCATGGCAGAGAAGAGCAAAAAAATATAAGCATACAAATCTGCACAAAGCGATGGGATATGCCAGGATACTCAATTAATATTACCACCAAAAAGCCAGTCCAATTTAATCACTGGTGCAGATAAAAGGAGACATGTGCATGGATCCAAGTGATGGATCTATGCACTCAGTGGATCTCTCACCAATCACAACCTAAGATCTATGATCCCATTGGATCCTGTGTTGAAAATACTCCTGGATATATGATCTCATAGGATCTGATGACAAATGAGAACAAGGATACCAATGCATGAACATAGTGGGTCCCACCATAGGTACAAAACCTGTCAAACCAAGTTTAGAGGCATTTTCAAGGCAATAAGTGAACCAAAATTATAAATCATCATGGAATACCACATAGGATCCCTTAACAGAAATGCTGCAAATTGCAACAAGCATTCCTATAAAAATTTAGGTACATGTCAATTGTCAATGGAAATTGAATGCCTATGTAACATCCAAAATCTCACTAGTTTTCTAGGCAAGAAGAAATGTTCAATAATCCCATTCCAAATGTAACTATTGTTCAGGGAGATGGGTACATCTTTGATCTTATCAGATCCAACATCCATGATCAAGATCCATGAAATATCACCCCAGGTCCATTTTCTCGGATCCTTGCAAACATCTCATCTTGATCTGACCTTATTAATTCCAAATGTGTCACCATTCCATAAAGCTTACATAACAAGGTCTCGTGAAATAATGCTGGATATTGTAATAAACTGGGACTTACTTCTTATTTCGCTCAATCTGCTCCTCTTGTGAAAGCACATTTTCTTCCATTGACTCGATGATCATAACATCATCGTCCTCTCCACCGAGATCCATCTTGTTTCCCTTGTTTTCGCAAGAATCCTCAATAATTTCAACGTCACTGTCACAGGCCATGGTTGTAAGGAATAAGTGACGAACTGACAAAAAGATGACACAAAAATAAGTTTATTTACGCCACAAACACCGAGCAGGCACACACAGAGGACCCTCGACTTGAAGACAAATCTGCTGCAGATCCCCTGTGGCCTTGAAAGAAAGATCACTTCTAGAAATTAGAAATGAACATTTGAGTAAATGACGTCATGTAACAAAATTTGTCAAATAAAAAGTTGTCAACACTATTTTTTACTACAATTAGGCTAATAAAATTAACTTTGTTTAAAAAACACGATTTTTCAAAATCATATATGGTAACTACTTCACATTAATTCTATTTACATCACTCACATTTAAAATCTCTTTCTGGGTTTACATCCAACGCCTTGACGCTGTTGCGAAGAAAGTGCAGTTTACACTCATTCCATATAACACAATACATAAAATTGACTTTATTTTCCACCTTTTCATTTTTGTGTGAAAACACTCTTTATTTCTGGGTTTCAAAACGTTTCTGTGATTTGTCTGTGACCAGGTTAGAATATGAACATATTTTAACTTAAAAAATATGAAAAACTATAACAAAAGTTTCAAAAGTCCTAATAGAACTACGCCATGTGAACTGCACTTTTATCTTTTGTAACAGCTGCGCCATAAACTAAAAGCAGCGTGTCAACTTGGCGTCAACAGTTAAAACGTTTTGGTTTAGTGGTCAAAACCAAGGTATATTGGGTCAAAACCGTCAAAACCAAGGCAGTATATTGATATACCGTCAAAAAAAAAACAGTCGATAATTGCGGGATAATTGCAAATTGCGTATGACTAAAGGCGCCGAAAAATATTTTATAAATTTGTTCAGTAAATTGATGTCGTTTTGTTTCGTGGTACTTACCATTTACACCGCATTTTAATTTTCAATCACAGACTGAGACGATATTTTGAAGCCGGTGTCAAGCTGAGACGGTAGCAATTTTTTGTTCTACAGGTGTCTGTGAGCATGAATTTGTAATTGAACTAAATGCCATTAATTTTTTGTAGCCAGTAATTCTATCCCTCATTTCACGTATGACACACTTGGACTTCTCCCAGCGGCCAGCGCTAGTCAGTTTCATGTGCATCTTTAAAAAAATAGGGAAGTCGTAAAGCAGGCATCACACTTTGACTTGTTTTTTGCAACCAAGGCAAAGGAGGGATGCTGTAGGTAAGGTTGTAGCAGGTTGTAGGTTGTAGGTAAGGTTAGGTCAGGTTTGGGTTGGTTTGGCTTGATCAGAAAGCATCTCTGCTCTGCGTATAGCGCCTATCTTTGGTTGCAAAAAACAAGTGTGACACCTGCCTGCTTTACGACTAAGCTAGGTACCTGCATTTACTCAATTTTGGTCAACACGGAAATATTTAAGGATCACTTACCCACCATAATCAAAACACATCCATACACTATTTGTTCCGTGTTTTTCTACTTGTCTCTATCAAAAACTACTTATATGATATAACAACCATTCATAATTTTGTGGCACTTATTGACATTCAAACACATGAAAGCATGGTTTTACAGGCTGCTGGTTGGATGTGGTTGGATTCACTTTGATCAGACATATGCACAGATCCCAGACAACCAAATACAAAAAATTGAAATGACCATTAGTTTAAAGCCCCAATAAACAAGCAAACACACCACACTGCCTAAATATGCACTGCACAGTGCGCTGCACCCAAGCACAGTGCCCCTGTACCAACAAGGTCTCGTCGAGATTATCATGCTTTGCAATCTGGCTTGTGATGATGTTTGTATGGATTTAGGTGCTATAAATAGATTGCGCCAGCTCCAGTGCAATATCTCTAAGAGTCTTGCCATGCATACCAAACCTTCTTACTGCACCTAAAGATATTTATTTTCCATGTGACTGATGGATATTTGGTTACAAATCAGTGCACTTCATGACATCCAACTATGTGTGTAGCTCCGCAGTTTGGCTACAGAAGATCTAACAGTCAAGGCAGCCAACCATGCCGGAGGATGAGAACCCCACTGGGGAGCTGCTGGCTAAGGTTTCGTTCCCACTGTACACGATAAAGGCACTCTCAGGACAGCACATTCTTGTGGCCGGCGGAGGTGGCTCGGCCAAAACGGGAGTCGCCAATGGATTCGTGAGTATCCTTGCGAGCTAGAATTATGATTGTGGTTACAATGCCATCCCTAAATACATTATGCAATATAGGTGTTGTTTATTGGTTTCATCATTTATTAATTCAGGTGATTGCATGTCAGTAACATTTTCGTAAATCCAATCATTAGTGACTCGTCTTGTACTCTCCTCTCTGAAACTGTTGAGACTAAACTACAGTGACGTATTCGAGATATTCGAGACATACATTGACGCATACAGTGACACCTCCTCTTTGGCATTCGAGCTGACCTTACCGTCTCCTCTCCGGCAGCAAATATTCGAGCTGACCTTACCATCTCCTCTCCGGCAGCAAATATTCGAGCTGACCTACTCGGGACGTCAGACGGAGGCCGAGGAGGTGGCCTGGCACGAGACTGGTGACCGGGCCATCATGAACTGCACCACGTTCACGCACGGCCGGCGCGAGATGCTGGCCGCCGGCCTGGACGACGACCTGCAGATGTATCAGATCAGCCGCAAACTGGTCGATGAGGATAACCAGGGTCACGTGCTGCCTGACGAGGGTGAGCGCGTCCATAGTCCTCACTGATGTAGGCCGTTACTGCAATGCAGGCCTTTGTTTTCTGGTGCTTATAGCGATATCGAGTCGTAAGAATGCTTGACTAGGCTGTTGACTTGATACTGTGAATAGTAAAGCATTTCTTTTTTAGTGAAACCTTAAAGAGGAACTTTTTCATTCTGCCCCTGTGCACTTTTCTGAAGCTCCAGAGAAACCTAATAACATTTTGTGTACAAATCAGCATAGTGCTAGGTACCACTGACGTCCACCGAACAGCCTTCCTCGTGTTTTCTAAGTTCTCACCATCTCGCCACTCTGCGCCCTTCAGAGAAGTTCGCGCAGACCAGGAAGCGACGGAAGAGCGAGTCTCTGAGCAACAGTCAGGAGGGCCGGTTCTTCCGGAAGCGGCGCCACCCCTCGGGGAACATGCGGATCGGCTTCGACATCACCAAGCAGGAGTCAGTGCGCACGGACTTCAAGTAAGGCTTGGTTGGCCATGTGGTGGCTCATGGCTGTCAGTGTGGTCGTGATCGAGACGACCAGGGGTTCTTCGGTCCATTCAGTATCAGTGACCGTCAGCAGTAAATAATTGTCATATTTACGTCATAGTTTTCACAAACATTGATAATGACTGCTGGGTTGGGACTCATGCATACACACATGTTCGTTCGCTTGTTTCGTTCTTTCCTTTGATTTGTTTGTTTTTCGAAATCAGAATATGTCAATTATTTACGAATGCATTCATTATGTCTTTCGACAGCTTTATTCAGTTGCTGCTATGATAGTGCTCTTCCTGTTCATGCCAATCCATTTCCAGCCGTGCCGTTTCACATCCCTAATTTGATGTGTCCCAACACACCCTGACCTGCCGACTGTCTGACCTCCGCCCGACCGTGCGCCCCAGTTCGAAGGGGGACGACTCATTCCAGAAGGTGGTCCGCGTCAGTCTGGACCGGACGTTCCTGGTGACGGGCGGCTGCGACGGACACCTGCGCATCTGGAAGTTCCCCGGACTCACCAAACTCAGGGACCTCAAGGCACACGCCAAGGAAATCGACGATGTAGACATCAGCCCATCGGGAACAAGGGTGAGTCACTTGCAGGGCTGGTAGAATGTAGTTAATGACTGAAGAGTTTTGCAATGTATTATTGGGCGGAGTTGTTGCCCTCTGATTTTGAGCGGCAATGAGGAAACGGTTTTTATAGTTCGTTAATGCTATTTTGCGAATGCATATGTGTTTTGTCATTAGTTCGTCTGTATTAAATGTCATATCTTTGATTTCGTGATCGGCGGATAACTTACAAAAAAAGTCTTGTGCTCGTTTTTTTCCTCGAAAGGCTTAGTTCGTTTTGCTCGTTCCGTGCTGACCGGTCCGCCGTGCTTTGCGTTTGTGGCTCACTCAGCATATTGTACATATATCAGCTAATCGCAAACCCATTTCACTGAGAACCGACCATTCTGTCATAGACTCGAAATTTCGTCCAAATGGTCCGAGCACGACTCGTGTCGTCTTTTATAATGTTTTAGCGTTTGAAAGTGTGAGCTCCACAACACATGCGCTATTAACTGCTTAGTCTATTGCTTCTACAGATCGTTAGTATCGGGAAGGACAACAAGTGCAACGTCTGGAACACCAAAGACGGGAAGAAGGCCGCCCAGCTGGACTTTGACCCGCCCCAGGATGGCTGCAAATACATGTTCAAAAAGTGCAGGTCAGTACGACGGTGTCGGGTTTGCAGTAAAGTAAGGGTGCTTTTAGCTCTCTCTCTCTCGTCTTTTTGTATCTTATACTATGAAGGACACCGCTTTAACGAAATGACGGACCATTGAATGATGGCATAATCACCGTAACTCTGAGACGAATCGCGCTCGAATAAGTGGTGTCCTCGACCTGGTACTTGTATCGCGTGACTCGCTCGTACTCGTACTTGTCCCGATAATGGGGATGAACTAGAGATTTAGAGGATTCACAAACAGCTGCGGAGTCTATTTGCGCTCTTAACGGCATGGTTAATGGGATAATAATATGACCTTCAAGCCATCAATTTAAAATTCGTGTCAGTGCCACGAAGACACTGAACAACTGACGAATGGCTCGACCGGCAGGTTCGGGATAGTCGAAGGCGACAAGAACAACTTCTGTCTGTTTACTCTGCACAACCCGATCTCGTCGTCCCGAAAACCGGGCTACATCGTCAAATGGAACACCACCACCTATGTGCCGGAGAAGACGGCAACAGTCACAGGTAATAGTCCAGAAGTCAAATGGAACATCACGTAGCGTCAGGGAGAACGGTCAAAGTGGTGGGTGTAAATGACCCTGGCATATCTCTGTTCAGTTGTTGCTCTATCCGGCAGAGGTCGCCCCGTTTACCGTCCAGCTGGCCTTACCCTTCCCCACGCTCAGATAACTTTCCCTCGGCCAGGCAGGTGCCCAGTCGCCCCTCCCCTTCCTCGCTGACTAGTACCTAACCTCCCAGACAGCTTGACCCCTCTCCCCGCCCTCAGGCAGCCTGTCCGGTCGGCCCTGCTATCCCCTGCTGGCAGGTGGCTTTCCTCCCGCTAACAGCTGCCCCTCCTTTTCTACAGGCAGCTTATCCGCTCTGGCGGTCAGTGACGACGGTCGATTCCTGGCCGTGGGCTCCATGGAGTCTGGCTCTGTCACCATCTTCATCAGCTATAGCCTGCGTCCGCTCAAGACGGTGGACAGTGCGCACCACACGTTTGTCACCGGTCTGGAGTTCCTGCCGTCGGGTGAGGCGGCGCGTGCTGTCACAGGAAACAGCGACGCCAGTGTGGTCAGCATCAGTGTCGACAACCAGGTCAAGATTCACCACGTGGCACAGAGAGGTGAGAAAATGGCACCTGACGCAGATGGATGGGATAGGAACCACCACGTAGCAAAGGAATGTGATCCGTTACCACCATTTGATGCGCTATGGAGAGGAGGCGAGCTTTTTGGTGTGAGAATTGGTAGGCAAGATACCAGAAGTACCATAGAATATTGGAAGGAACGTTTGTGTTGGTTTGTCGTGTTTTTATTCATCGTTCTCGTTTTGGCTTCACATTTTTGCGGTGTCTTAAATTTGTAGCTCCCTTCACTGTTGTCTGAGCCTTTTGCACCCCTCAGCTACCTTGCTATCTTGCAGCTACCTTGCACTGCTACCTTGACTCTTCAGCTATCGCCTTGCTTGAAATGTGCCCTGTTGCTCGTACCTGTGCAGCTATCCTCCCCTCTCAATCGGCACGTTACCTACCTCATGACTGACCTCCCCCACGCTTGTGTCCGTTTCAGGGACCATCTCTGTGCTGGCCGCCAGTCTGATCGTCATTGTGGTCATGGTAGCCACCTTCATCGGCTGCAGCATGCTGGGACTCTGAGACTGCAACATGACTTAGGTGACCCGGTGGCAGCATGACTGAGGCGGCGTACGGGCGGCGCGGACGACCGGCATAACGGTGACGTGTTGAATCATAGCCGCGTACCGCGCAGCTGCAGAGTCGTATTGCTGTTGTATTGCTTGTGTGTAACACTCGTACGGCAGTTTTGCGAATGAGGTACGACTGTCGCACATTTGTTATACGACTGACAAACGACACTCGTACGACAGTTATGTGAAAGTCGTACCTCAATCGTACAACTGCCGTACTTTTGTCACGCAACTGTTATACAGCACTCGTGCGGCAGTTTTGTGACTCTCGTAGTTCATTCATACGACACTTGTACGACAGTGTTCAGTCGCTGTCGTACTTTTGTCATACGAATGGCACATGACAGTCGCAGCACTGTTGAACGGTATTCCTACAGCAGTCGATCCGCGTAGCACATTAATGCTGGAGATACGACGGGTGTGGAAGCTGAACAGTGAACAGCCCATAAGTGATAAAAACGTCCAATGGTGAACCGGTGGACGGGCTGGGTGGATCTGGCCACCTCATGACGTTAGCTGCGAAACTCCATCCTATCTGCGCCGCGGTTTGCGATCGGAGCGCAATACCCGCCCGGGCTACCTTCTTGCGGGTTTATATGAGCGTTAGTAGCAATTTTCCGCCAATGGTGCCCTCGTGGTGTGGCTTCAGGGCCCAAGATCTACCTAGGATGCTTGTAAATTATTTCAATATATATTTTATTCTTGTTAATTGGATAGGGAGAACAACGTAAGGGGTAAATTCCGGTGGTGTGCTCGATTTCGTGTCGTGTTGGTTGTTATGGTGAGGTGCGCACGCGTGCTTAGTTGGTGGAAAACACCAACCGTTTATGACCACAGCTGTGTAATGCAATGAGAATCTATGAAGCTGCCTCTTTTTTGGGACTGGGCCTTTGGAATGCTCAGCTCTGAGCCAGCGAGATAGTGTGTCGATCGCTTTGGTGGACCCTCGCAGCTGTGGGCGTACGCAGTGGTGGGTTGGTACGAAACAACTTTGCGACAATGCCGATAGATTGGTTTAAAGGACAGGTACTATGGCCAGTAAGCTGTCTTTGGAAGCTAACGTCGGTTGGAGGGAGGGAGAACATTGTGAGGGAAATGCCGCCGGTAGGAAGCAGAGAGCTGTCCGGCGGAAAATGGTGCTTTTAGGAGAGAGAAAGAGACAATAAGAAAGAATAGGAAAGAGATGGTAATGTTAGGAATGATACCTTCCGTAGTAGGGAAAAGGCGCTTAGAAAAAAACGTTTGCGGGAGAGAAAAGGACCGTGTCTGAGGGATAAGGCCGTCTGTAAGAATGTAAGAAGGCCCTATCGGAAGGAAAATGCCGTCAGTTGCAGTAGGAGGGAGAGGATACTGTCTAAGGTTAAAATGCCGTTAGAACAGTCTAGATGACGCTATATCAAGGAAAATATTGTCGATGGGTGGGAGAGGGGAGTATTTTAGGTGAAATGTCATCTGTCTGAGAGGACACTGGGGAAAAATGCATTCGCTAGAAAGGAGAGTGGAAGGTGTCTCTTAATTTGGAGAAAAAGGAATTGATTTGTTTATTTACCAAGGCGGAGTCTGGAATCGTGACACCAGTTACCCTTCATGCGATTTGTGCATATTTAAGCACTGGAAACAGACGGATATTTATCGATTATTCCCGCTATGAGCAATGAGCATTCCCCATTGAGAAGTAATTACTGGTTACTGTGGCGAACGAAATGTTTTAAGGTACATTTACACCATTTTCGATGCATTTTAAGACAAATGAAGTCCAATTTAAAACAGTTGATTTCTGAATTAAAACAATTGACAGGCGGGTTAAAACACGTGACATTTAGCTTAAAACAATTGACATGCTATTTAAAATAAATGACAAGCAAATTAATATAAATGACATGCAATTTAATCTTAAAATTATAGTTACTTCAAGCTATGCTGAATATTTAAGTTTTAGTGCAAATAAAATAAACAATGTGTTCGACTACATATTTGCAATTGTGACAGTTCGTATAGAACTTCAACATAGCAATGCTTCATTGGATTAAAAATTCAAAATGACTGGCGTTAGAGCTTCCATACGATGACATTGAATCCTACACTACACTGTCCTCCGTCTTAACCCGCATACCGCTGGGGTCCTGGATTTCCACGCCCTGCTGGGGGGGGGGGGTGTTTGAACACCCTTCCCCTTCTAACTCGGCTCCTGGGCCACGCAGCGATACGCGGAAGGCAGTGTGCGAAAGAGTGACAAACATAATGACGGAACTACTTCAGTCACTTTTTTGCTCAGGTCAAGGTCAGATCACCAGAGGTCATTGAAGGCCAAATGTTGCAGATTTTCAGGCCAAATGTCAACAATTTTTAGAAGCCGACACATAACTCGGGAACCAAGAGAGCTACAGCGCCGAGGAAAAGCGCATTTGATAGCTCGCTGAACGCTCTCTTTGAATATTTCTCCCTGCATATTTGATCCGACGTCAACGTTCTAGCCTGCAGGTGGCAAAAACTGCCAAAATGGACGATTTTTGCGGACAGTTTTTTTTTTTGCACTAACTTTTGACTCAAGCCTTGCACGAGCTAAACTTTACCTGCATAGTGTTCCTCTCGTCAAGACGCATCGAATGAACTATAATTTGACCTTGAAAGGTCAAATTGAAAAAATGACCTCAGGCCAAGGTCTTGACCTGACCGGAAAGGGTCATGCTGCGTATCAGCCGATCCGTATCGTGGAGCTTAACAAATCTAATGCGTTTTCATCGCTCTAACATGCCTCTATCCAAAACTATTTGCTAAAACCTGCTAGATACCCTCGTGACCTGACATGACCTCATGGGCATAAACAACACACAGAAAAATATTGACACCGTTAGCGGTGTAATTGCACAGTACATATCTGAGCACTTGAGGAAAGTTAATTTAGTCCCTTCCCCGCTTAAATTACTCGCGCTTCTAAATGAACACCAGGAAGAAGGTAATAGAACACTGTTAGGAGGGTTGGGTGTTTTACTACATGTAGCAAACCACCCAACCCTCCTAACAGTGTTCTATTACCTTCTTCCTGGTGTTCATTTAGAAGCGCGAGTAATGTAAGCGGGGAAGGGACTAAATTAACTTTCCTCAAGTGCTCAGATATGTACTGTGCAATTACACCGCTAACGGTGTTAATATTTTTCTGTGTGAAGGGTCACGGGTGCTATGTATTTTTGTGTTCATTGGGTCAACTGTCAACGTTACTTGTAATTCGGTGTTTGAAAAGGTTTACATAGACTGCCGCGTGATCATTCGAGAGGTAGTTAACCTGCAAACCCAATAAGAGGTGGATTGTGTGCAATGATCCTGCAATCTGCTGAATAGGTATGGCTGACATGGGTGCCGGTCGCGTTGAAAGGTGGGGCATTCCACGATAGATCGTACCAGGCCCGTCACCCTCATCTCTCAGATTTGAATGAAAATTGGTGCTAGGGGTAATCATAGGCTCCAAAAACACCTGCCAAAATATCAGACTTCTCATATGAAAACTTTTTGAGCTACATTGCATAATATTTTCTAAACTTCAGATTGTAAGGGTGAGTTTGATGAGCTATAACTCAAAAACGAGCTAAGCAAGCAACAAACGGTAAACAGCTTTGAACTAACGATGAATCAAAGATTAATACAGCTTTTTTAAAATTGGAAAGAAAAGCTTTACATATTGAAAAAAGTCGTAAGATTTTTTTGAATTGTCTATAACGGCGCTTGGGACCAAATTTTTTGCCATTTTTATTTCTTCAAAATTAATTTCAGGTCATTTAAAATCGACATGCAAAAAATTAGAAAGGTGTTCTTTCTATAAGTTCCTCATTTTAACCCTCGCCCATGTAGGGGGGGGGGGGGGTTGGTGCAACCCCCCCCCCTGAGGTTTTTCGGAAATACGCCAAATTTTGGGTACCTTATGGGGCAAACCTTGCGCATCTTTTGATAAAAAAAAAAAATTTGACTGGGTAATGTCAGGTCACGGAGTTATGACGTCACAAAGGGAACAGCCTCCGGCCGGATTTTCACAAACTGAGTGCCAACGCCCGAGGTTTCCTGCCGGTGGTACGGACATCGGTTGATGGATCGTGATGAAACTTCCCATGCATGTTGGGGCAAGTAATGGCTATCATATGGTATAAGAAACTTGACCGGGTCAGGTCAGGTCACGGAGCTATGACGTCACAAGAGGAACAGCGTCCGGTACTATTTTTGAAAAGCGCCCGAACCACTATTTTGCTAATTCTTGTCACCTCAATGGGAATATGCAGCAATATTAGCTTCTATAGGGAGCAAATGGACCTTCCAAATCCAAAAATACAATCAGATTTCAAAAATTCAAATTTTGATTTTTCGAACTTCTGCCGCCGACTGTGACCTTGCCGACTTCCGGCGCTCCCAACGCGCCATTTTTAGAGCTAGGGAAACGAAATACATACCAAACGATAGAGAATTGATCAAGGAACACGATAGTGAAGGTTTCAAGTCGATATCTCCCACCTTTTTGCCGCAATCGCCGCGGAAAGTTGAAAAAAGTCTATTTTTCCGAAAATTTGACCTTTGACCGGTCAAAAGTAGGTCAAATGTTGACCTAGGACCAAAAAATATACCACCAATCGCGAGATCTCGGCGAGAGCAATCCGTTGGTCTTTTCCGCTAAGCTCTACGACGCTCCGTTTTCAAACGCCAAGGGGGGGGGTCGCACCAACCCCCCCCCCCCTGCATGGGCGAAGGTGGCAGATCGCCGTTTACGGGCGAGGGTTAATGCATACAAAATGGGTTTCCGGGGGGTCAGTACGACCCCAGCTCGCCGTTTCGCCTCCAATGGAGCTAGAACCTTGCGGAAAAAACGAGCATGTGCGCCGTTACAAGATGCATCGATTGATACCACTTTTTAAGGTCTCGGGTTCATTGGTGACCCCTGATGTCATTTCAAGTGACCCAAATTACGGGTCCGGTTTTCGGTAGATAACTTCGCAACAAATGGTCGCAGAGCCGCGATTTTAGCATCGTTGTGTTTGCCTAGCTCCGGCGCGTCGAATGGTATACTGTTTGTTCTGGTGAGGTCAGCTTAAGTCGCTGACCTCAGGTCAGCACACTGCCGTGTATTTGGCTCCGCGCCCCGACCGGGCGGCCCAGCCGGCAGCCAGCCCTCGGGCATCACGTGACCGCCCAGAGTCCCCGGCAAAGCCAACCAGCGCGGCGCTGGACAAACAGCGCCGCCACATAGATGGTTCACAGTCGGGTCAGGCCACGAAGCTGGGCGAATGAGATCATATTGCACATCATTCGATTCGCAAGGTCTTCCCGAGTCCATTGGTAGCTTTCCCGTCTCTCTAGCTCAATTTGATCGAGAGTTATTAACGAAAAACTCTTTGACCCTAGTGACGCATACGAATGACGTCACGCAAGGTCAACAATGCAAACGCGAGGTAAAAATGACTTCAATTGGACTTTCAGTAACCAGTGATGTCACTAGGCAGCTTTACCACGCCATTTGTAGGCTCTCTTCCCGAAATCACAATTCGAGACCATTACGGTGACGCAAAATAAGTGCATTTATAGAAAGAACACCTTCCTAATTTTTTGCATACTACTTAATAATGATCCAAAAATGTTTTAAGTAAATAGAAATTAAAAAACAAATTGGTCCCAAAGGCATGAAAATTCAAATGAAATGAAACTCGATGTGTTAGATATCAAAAATAGTTTATATTTCAAAATTTTAAAAATGCATATTACTTTTTGTTTCAATAGTTCAATGCCGTATAGCATTTGGCATTTGGATTATCCGTCTTAGAGTTACAGCCCGCCAAACTTGGCGCTGCAACGCAAGATCCAAAACATGTTATACATTATAACTCAAAAACCACTCATCAGATAAGCCAGAAATTGTCACAGGAGGATTCAGAGCCCCTGATTACCCCTTACACCAATTATCGTTAAAATCCGAGGGATGAGGGTGTCAAATTGGAAAAAAGTGGTACGATCTATCGTGGAATGCCCCAGGTGTGTTAACATTCAGTTACCTGGACCGCCGCCCGGTCTCCAAATCTGACGTCTCATGCTGCTATTCAACGTGACCGTCCCGGCCGGTGCGTTCGAATGTCGACAGACCAGTGACATTTCATATCTGGCTCATCTGCGAATTACGGCTACGGCTATCTGCACAACGCCTATCAGTGCAGTTAGACAGCTGTTTCGCAGATTTTATGGATTGCATTCGCAGGTTAACATGGAAATGTTCGCTTTAGCTAACTGCATCCCTTTATGGTGGCAAAAAGAATGGAATGACGAACACCGTTCGACAGACAGCGCGAAATAATAATCACACGGTCTTATTCAAAACATTCTGGGCCTACCATTCCTGCCTGCGATCTGTTGACTTTGAAATAATTGAATCAACATTTTGATAGGCGGTCGATTGTTGTATAAAGGGGCAATGCATATTGCCCCATCTGACGAGCGCTCGAGTCACGGCTGCGATGGTCGTGCTCCGCGCGGTGGAACAGTGTCAGTGGTCGCCCGGGCAGCCGTTCATGGGCCGTAAACATTGGGTAAGCTGCGGGTTCCTCCTTCCCTGTGTGCGCCCGGCTGTGAGGGCCGGCGGGCGCCGTGTGACCGGGGGCGGGCCGTCCCCACCGGAGTCGATTTGGGTCGACCGGTGTCGTCACCGTCCCGTCTCCGTGGTGGTATAAAGGCAGCGGTCGGCCGGTCGGCGTCACAATCCCCGCCGACCGGCCCGCAGCAGCACATAGACTCACAAACGTGATGGCGCGTCTGCTGGTGCTGCTGGTGGCCGGCGCCGTCTGCACGGCCGCCCTGCCCTCGCCCGACGGACGGCCGCAGCACGCGCCTCCGCCGGTCATCGCTCCGTCGTACGACGCGCCAGCGCCGGCCGCCGGCTACGGCACGCCCGCCTGCGAGCCGCGCACTCACTACGTCACCATTACCTCGACCAAGATAGACTTTGAGACCCAGTACAACACGTACACGGCGCTGGAGCCGACCACGCGCTACCAGCAGGTTACCGAGACCCAGTACCAGCCGAGCACCGTGTACCACTCGCAGTACGTGACTGCGTACGGCGCGCCGGAGGTCAAGGTCAGCACCAAGGTGCTCTACGACACCAAGTACGTCACCGAACACCAGTACCTGACCGAGACGGTGTTTGTGATGCAGACCAAGACAGCCTACTACACGGACGTGGTGGCCGTGCAGCAGTACTACACGGAGACGGCCCGGGTGCCCTACTACGTGACGCGGACGGCCTACCACAGCCAGGCGTACCCCGAGTACCGCTACGTCACCGAGACCAAGCTCAGCTACGAGTACATCACCGAGACGCAGCAGGTGCCCTACTACGTCACGCAGACCATCACCAACGCCTACCCCGAGTACAAGCAGGTCTACCACACGGAGACGCAGCACCAGTATGTGACGGTGACGAGCACCCAGTACCAGAACCAGTACGTCACCGTGTGCCCCAAGCCGACGTACCCCAGCTACGGCAAGTAGACGCCGCCGCCGACCGGCCGGGCGCGGCTCTGACCGCGAAGCCGCACCGCCTCAGTCGCTGGTCCACCAATCAGCTGGTCTTTATCTGTGATGTGTGTGATGTACTGTGATGTGTGTGGTCGGGTGTGTTTATAGTACTGTAAGTGTACCATGTGATTGTGTAGGTGGGGAGGGGTCACGGGTCGGCTGGTCCGCCCGCTCTGGTCAACATTGTTCCTCTGACGGTGTTATTGTTGTGTGGGAATTCGCGCCCTGCCATGTGAGACTTGTTATACATGCTGACTCGCTGTGATTTATCATGCTGATAGAAATGTGTTATGATGATGTACTCCAAGACACCCATGTCACTAATAAAGTGAACGTTTTATATAGTGAATTCTTTTATGGAGACACATGGAAAATCAGATTGAAAGAAGTACCGTTCGAAAACATATCAAGCTATGAGATCGGCAAAACCAGATTGAATAAGATGCTGAATATAGGCTATCATGACGGGCATCACTTTCTCATCTTGTCAGTATCTCGAACGGAACCCACTACGCTATCTCGACTGCATTGCTCATGGGTCGCACATACAATGGGTCGGTTTTATACAACAAGAACGACCAGTGGTCACTTGAAATGTCATCTTAGGTTATGATAGGTTATAAGCATTTGTCATTTGATAATACATTTTACTAGAGACATAGGTACTAGAGCGATGCATAGGTATACGGCAAATGTGCTTAGCTTAACAAAGCGAATCGGCTGGGCATGTGCACATGTTTTATGGGCTATTTTATTCGTAGAATTCAATAGGCACACTCAATAAGAGATATGGACCACATCTGGATGAACTTCAGGTTGAGGTCAGGTCAAGGTCATGTCAAGTGAGGTCAAATTTGGAAGTTGGTTGTTAAGGTCTAAAAAGGTGTTTATCTGATGCAGTTTTTCACGGCGAATCGAATGGTGCTATTTTTGTTTCCGTACGAGGTCTAGAACTTAGAAAAGTTCATTTTTCAAAAAAAAATGTGTGTCGTGACGTCATAAAATTTTGAATAGCTCCCACATTTTTGAACCGATTCTTCTAAAAATTGGTATTTAGGTGCACATTGCCCACTTCTCTGGCATATATTGTTTTTTTTCGATACACTCAAAATTTTGGATTTTATAATTAATTTTCTAAAAGTCAGTTTTTTTAAGAAAAAATATTGGGCCAAAATCCAAAATTTTCAAAAAACCGAGATAGCCATTTGATAGACAAAGTAGAATCACGTATAACCTTTTTTGTTACGTCTTGATTCCTTTAAAAATGAAGTTGTGAACGGCGTTTGAAATTTTGCCGTTTTTGAGGCGAAAATGGCGGACATGACGTCACTAAAATGTCATTTTCTAAAAAAAATCCGAGGGATTTGCTCAAATTTTCAGGAAACGTCTTAAATTGATGTATGATAAGGTACTGAAAGTTTGACGTCGTTGGCGTAACGCGTTTAGAAGTTATTGGCAAAAACGGGAGGGGGCAGATTCCGCCCCCCCCCCCTCCAGCTGGGCGCGGGCTAACGCTTTTCCCCCGTTTTTATTGGTAACTGTGACCTAGTTCCTAAGGTCTTGTCAACATGTTGCCCACCCCATTTTAAGTCAATGAAAGAAATTAAAGTCGTATGTCTCTTGTGAATGGGCTTCTTTTTGACTTTTTACGTCTAGGAAATATGTTACGCCGTTACGGTATGAACCGAGATATCAGCTACGGAGCGGGGCGCGGGCAAATTGTTCGATGCCTTATCTTTGTATCCTGTGATCATGTAAGGTCATAAAAGGTTACTAACAGATTATTTTCAGGAAAAAATAATTGACAGAGACATTATAAAGCCGATATCGTGGAATCATAGGTAAGCCTAATGCTGCCCGGACACGGCAGGGTCATGCATGTTAGATGCTTTTCTATGAATTTAATTCATAATTTAATTTTAGTCTTCCTAGGATCCTAAGCATCGGGACCATTGGTTATTGCAAAGGGGAGAACGGGCTCATCGTTCAACCCTCGCCAGGCGAGGGCCTTTTCCATAACACGGACGGCGAGGGGGGGTTGATACGACCCCCCCTCGCGATTGGCTCCTATGGCACTGAGAAACGCCAAATTTACAGGGTAGGTGGGTCCATAGGAGATCTCGCCCCTGTGAAAGTTTGGTGACTCTAAGTCAATATTTAGGGGAGTTTTGGGGGTATGAGTGCAAAAACTTTGCTAAAACATGTTAAAAGTTTTTTTCGCTTATAACTTTTTACCTAGTAAAGATAGAGCAAAAATAAAAGCACCAGTGAACTCAAGACGTCCGTGCGCATCGAATGATATACTTTGTTACCAATTTAAGTGAACTCTGGAATTCAGTTGCCGCTAAGCTAGTCCAATTTCCCCCTGACCTTGTACCGGTTTTTGTGACCTGGTGACCTGACCTGAAAAGAATGGGACTTCAACTTTTCAGGAAAGGTGCGAAAATGCTGCCCCAGATGGTATGCCAAATTTGGCGGCGCTACGCGCCGCCGTTTTTACGTTGTTTGCGAAAAACCTTAGGGGGGGGGTTGCATCAACCCCCCCCTCGTCGGGCGAGAGTTAAAAGGTACCAACATATATTAACCTCTTTCATACGTCAAGCTCATGAAGATGATTCGAATCATCTAGCGGCTCAGCTTGACCTTTTAATTTGTTCGTTATTGACATGACCTTTTAAGGTTTTTTTTAAGGGCTGAGCTAAATTCATAAAATTAGGCGCTTCTGTTTCTATTTGTTTTTATGTTGAAAGCAGCACACCCACCTTTTTTCGCGAAGCTAAATCTCAGCCAGCAGAAAGGGTTGCACCCAAGTCCCAAGGCTATAGAACTCCGTTACACCTATTAGCCTTGCGTCATTGAGAATGGGACAGAGCGAATAAATGAGTAGCAGCAAACAGTGCAGTACGTTTTTATACCCGGGAAACATTTCGATATTGTTGTACATTTTATTATAAAACGAAATTTCATTTCGGAGTACATCATCGTAACACGTAGCGTTGTTGCAGCATGATAAATCACAGCGAGTCAGCATGTATAACAAGTCTCACATGGCAGGGCGCGAATTCCCACACAACAATAACACCGTCAGAGGAACAATGTTGACCAGAGCGGGCGGACCAGCCGACCCGTGACCCCTCCCCACCTACACAATCACATGGTACACATACAGTATAAACTCACCCGACCACACACATCACAGTACATCACACACATCACAGATAAAGACCAGCTGATTGGCGGACCAGCGACTGGGGCGATGCGGCTCCGCGGTCAGAGCCGCGCCCGGCCGGTCGGCGGCGGCTCCTACTTGCCGTAGCTGGGGTACGTCGGCTTGGGGCACACGGTGACGTACTGGTTCTGGTACTGGGTGCTCGTCACCGTCACATACTGGGCCCAGTTTCACCAAGCTCTGTTTGGGGTAGTTTCGGCGAAACTACCCCAAACCAGTTTCACCAAATGGGGTAGGTTCTGATTGGCCACTTCCAAACTACCCCATGAAGTAGTTCTTATTTTACCCCAAATTTGCCATGCAAACAGATGCTCACGGTCCGTGAGCAACTGAACAAGCCAATCAATCAGCTGATTATCGTCGGTTCTACCCCAAATATCCGACCAAAATTACGGCAGACATTCGTGGGGTAATCTGTGAATATGATACCAATTGTGAGCAAGAATTGACAGTAAAATAGTAATAAGAACATAATTTATTGACGTCCAATCACCTGTCACACTTACACATTATTCATAGCATACCTACTTCAAATTTCATCCAAGTATTTTACTGCATGTAGCCTGCGCCACCTATGCTTGTGATCTACAACCCCAAAAGAAGCATTATAGATGTCGCCCATAGCTGAATGCCAGGAATTTTACTTTTTTAACTATTTAAGGTCTTCTTCAACAGTGACCTTGAATACCGGATGAGGAAGCCTTGAAATTATATAAACAATAAAAATGCACATTCTTCACGGTGGTTACATGCTGCGTCTTGTTGAAATGATCCAAGTACTTGTGTGATCTATTCATAAGCGTAGGAACCATGGGTGCAAGGGTGCAGCTGCACCCACAATATTTCTCAAGTGGGTGCAGACAATGTATTCTGCACCCACAATAATCTGAACAAAAACCCCTTTTCTCATCAGCACTACTTCTCATGCAGCACGGCAAATTCAGGATATGTTGCCTACTATCCATCTTTCGAAGCATTTGCTTCTTTGATGGTCTTCAAAACTTACATTTGTGCTGAAAAAAGGGAAATGGAGCATGTGATTGAACACATACCTATCGAACCGATGACCCGCTGTCAACATTTTTAGCCCGATATCTTCGAAAATGGCTAAGTTGGCCGCTTTAACTTTTTGCGGTAGTCAATATTGACAATATTAGCCCTCGCATGTGTGCGGCGTTTTCCAGCTTCTAATGTGTAGGGGGAGGGGGGGGGTCGGTCGGACCCTTCTGCCGTTCGGCCCCTGATCGAGCTAGAGCTTCGCAGAAAAAACGAGGGTGCTGCCCGTGACGAGAGGAAGCCGATGATACCCAATTTTAAGGTCCTAGGTCATTGGTTGACCTTCCAGGTCAGGTCAATATTCCAAAAGTCGCGGAAATCGGGACCTGCTATAGAACTGCGTAAAGTAAAGCTGTTATCGGGTTTTTCGGGGTGCTGATCACGAATATCTGATGTTAGTTTTGATCACAGATGATTTCTTCATGCATTTAGGCCAGATCGGGTCAGGTCAGGTCAGGTCAGCCATTAGGCGTCCTACCGGCTATCCATAGTAGGTGTCAACTACCACTGACGGCGTCGTAGCATGTTACGAAGGCACTAAAACTACTTTGTAAACGTTCAAATGGATGCTAAATTCGAAATCAGCCCGATAAACTACCCTAGAAACATGTAAAACTCGAAAAAGTGAACCGAGGTCATCAAAGGTCAATGACCTGACCTGACCTTCAGGTGACCTTGACACCCACCGTGATGCATGGTAAGAACATCATTTCACATGTTTGGACGTCTACAATCACAAAAAGACTGGAAACGCGCGGATAATGTGAGCTGACATACGCCCAATCGCGATTCCGGCCGAACATGGTCTCGAGAATCAGGTCACAGGTCAAAGGTCTTTTGGGTCAGGGTCATGAAATTTTCAGAGTAGGTGTAAAACGGATCAACTCGAGGGTATTAAAAGTTTTTTCGCGATCGGCCGCTTTTTGCGCGAGTTATTTGCAAAAAAAAAACATGGGGTTCATCTGACCACCCTACACATGCGAGGGTCAATGCTTCCAAATGCACTTATCGGTCGGTACTTTAACGACATGGTACACCCTCAAAGCTCGTAGCGAGCCTTCGCTCGGGTGTCGCTCCCTACCCCCCCCCCCCCCCCCCCGCTTTACCGGCCATGGTTGGATTTCTGCAGTCTGCAGTTGCACCCATGCACCCACAATGTTCCAGCCGTTCCTACGCCCATGTCTATTCAAATTATCATTTGAGCCTATATATGGCCTTGATTTGAGGCATCTATGTATTACGGTCAATGTGCAAATATCCAGCAAATATCAAGACGCTAACAACTGAAATCAATATAAAAATGCCGTACCTAAATCAGCAAGAGGATGTGTCGTGCATACCTAGGTAATTCTCATTAGAAATAAAAAGCATATGGTGCACGAAATTCGTAAGAAGCAGTTGTTAAAAATACCAGGCCAAGTGGATTCGGTACTTTCCATATCTTTTTTTTTTTTGTCGCTGTTGTGCATATCTCAATTAAGTTGCGTTATGTGCCGTGCATCTGTAATGTATGTATTTTGTAATGCACATTAGAAATGAAAAGCATCTGGTGCAAAAGATTCGTAGTTAAAAATCGTCAAAAATACCAAGCAAGGTGTATTCGATACTAAAACATGCACTAATTTACTAAAACATTCTAATTATAAAACACTAAACATCTAATCTAATTTAACATCTAATCTAATCTTAAATATCTAATCTAAACATCTAATCTAAGCATCTAATTTACTAAAACACTAATTAATATTAAAACATTCGATACTATTCGATAATAAAACTAGATAAATAGATAGGTATTCGATACTGTAACCTATCCATCAAGATTCGCGGTTGTGCATTGCATTCCTTTCTCAATAAAGTTGTGAATCTTGGAAACTGAGGTGCCATGGTGCCATCGTTACCAAGGTGATTGGTAGACAAATACAAGAAGCCAAATCGAATGTGTTCTTCATTCCACGCCGTCGTGAAATGAAATTCTCGACCAATCAAAACGTTCCGTTGTTTTGCTGATGCTGCTTGCTTAGCAAACATTCACAAGAGATGCCGAAACTACCCCATGGGGGTAGTTTGAGCTGGTGAAACTGGATTTTATCCCATGGGGTAGAATGGAAATCTACCCCATACCGAAATTACCCCACTTGGTGAAACTGGGCCCTGGTGCTGCGTCTCCGTGTGGTAGACCTGCTTGTACTCGGGGTAGGCGTTGGTGATGGTCTGCGTGACGTAGTAGGGCACCTGCTGCGTCTCGGTGATGTACTCGTAGCTGAGCTTGGTCTCGGTGACGTAGCGGTACTCGGGGTACGCCTGGCTGTGGTAGGCCGTCCGCGTCACGTAGTAGGGCACCCGGGCCGTCTCCGTGTAGTACTGCTGCACGGCCACCACGTCCGTGTAGTAGGCCGTCTTGGTCTGCATCACAAACACCGTCTCGGTCAGGTACTGGTGCTCGGTGACGTACTTGGTGTCGTAGAGCACCTTGGTGCTGACCTTGACCTCCGGCGCGCCGTACGCTGTCACGTACTGCGAGTGGTACACGGTACTCGGCTGGTACTGGGTCTCGGTAACCTGCTGGTAGCGCGTGGTCGGCTCCAGCGCCGTGTACGTGTTGTACTGGGTCTCAAAGTCGATCTTGGTCGAGGTAATGGTGACGTAGTGAGTGCGCGGCTCGCAGGCGGGCGTGCCGTAGCCGGCGGCCGGCGCCGGCGCGTCGTACGACGGAGCGATGACCGGCGGAGGCGCGTGCTGCGGCCGTCCGTCGGGCGAGGGCAGGGCGGCCGTGCAGACGGCGCCGGCCACCAGCAGCACCAGCAGACGCGCCATCACCGTCTGGTTGAGTCTGTGTGTTTGTCTATCAAGTCCTCTTCCTGTGTCTATCTGTAGTTGTGTCGGTGTCGGTGTGGTCTGAGTGTGAGTGTTTGTGTGAGTGTCTGTGAGTGAGTGTGTCTGCCCGGTGACTGGAGTCGACTGACCGGCTGACCGCCGCGGCTGTCTTTATACCCAGTGAACGGCGCGACGGGGCTTTCATGACCCAGATCGACCCCGGTGGGATGAACACCGAGCAATGTGGTCCCATCTGACTGACTGCCCAGCCCGTCAGGGACGGAGATTTTGGGCCCGGGGTTAGATCGTAGGTATTTGGATAAACCTGTATGCCTCTACCGTCTTAACTCCTCTCGCCCTCTCCTCCATCTCCCTCTCCCTTTCGCCCACAATTATATCTTTTTTTCCAGCCCGGGATAAGAACTTCTTTATTTTCCCACAGGGATATGATCGGAAGTTGGCATGATCGAGCTGACAGGCGAATTTTGTAAAAAAAAAAAATCCAATTTTTTATTCTACGTACGCAAGATGCCGGCGCCACAAATAAATAAATAAATAAGTAAATAAACTAATAAATAAACTAATAAATAAGTATTTAAACGGATAAATGAATGAGTAAAAGACGTAATCGGCCTTGAAAGTTCATCGCGCTGCAAAATAATCCCTAGCACTTTTTTTTTGACGGTCAGGGTCAGCTAAAACGCGGTTGATGTCAGAAGATTGGTATGGATTGAAAGGTTGAATGATATGGATCTCAGCTCTCTGTCGCCCAGGGGAACCTTCGCCCTTGTAGGCGTCGTTTTTGGCTAAGCTCCTTTTTTTGTACGTGCGTAGAGAAAATAGCATAGCATATCATGTTTACATCTTGTGTAGAAATTTTGAGCCCAGGCCACTTGAAAACTGAAGTCACGTCACCATGGGTCAGGTTTAGTAACCATGCCTATCAATATATTTGCGATCATGTCCTTCTACAGATTATCGCCCAAAATTGTGGAATTCCATGTGCTGTATAATGGTTTCACTGCAAACGATTCGTGTATTTCCGAGTCTTATATCTGTGACCTGGAGTCGGGTCAGATGTGTGACCTCACCATTACAAAGCAATGAGAGAAAAGTAGGTATGTTAGGATGTGTTAGTGCACTGTGTGTTAGGATGTGTTAGTGCACTGTGTGCCCGGTGCCACCTCTCGGCGCGCTGCTGGGCGCGCCACTGCGGACCGCCTCCCGCTGGGCGCGCCGCTGCCACCGGCGCGGCGGCGCGGGGTCACGGCCGCAGCCGGGGGCGGCGGTCATTCTGGACCTGGGGCTCGCCACGCGTGCTGCTGCTGCTGCTGCCGTTGTGATACCCGACCTAATACATCACAAATGGAGACGCTGCCTTTCGACCTAACATTGGCGCGGTCGGTAGGACCCGAATCTGATTGGAAATCAGATTCCCTTTGGGAGCGTAGGTTCGGGTCCTACCGACCGCGCCAATGTTAGGTCGAAAGGCAGCGTCTCCATTTGTGATGTATTAGGTCGGGTATCACAAATGGAGACGCTGCCTTTCGACCTAACATTGGCGCGGTCGGTAGGACCCGAACCTACGCTCCCAAAGGGAATCTGATTGGAAATCAGATTCCCTTTGGGAGCGTAGGTTCGGGTCCTACCGACCGCGCCAATGTTAGGTCGAAAGGCAGCGTCTCCATTTGTGATGTATTAGGTCGGGTATCACAACGGCAGCAGCAGCAGCAGCACGCGTGGCGAGCCCCAGGTCCAGAATGACCGCCGCCCCCGGCTGCGGCCGTGACCCCGCGCCGCCGGTGGCAGCGGCGCGCCCAGCGGGAGGCGGTCCGCAGTGGCGCGCCCAGCAGCGCGCCGAGAGGTGGCACCGGGCACACAGTGCACTAACACATCCTAACACACACTAACACATCCTAACACCACAACCACCTGAAGCCTTTAAAAGCGAGAGAGACGCACGTCCCAGATGCTCCTCCGGCGATCCGAAGCGCCAGCAGGGGGCAGTCCAACCAAAACAAGCAAACTGAGAGCAAAGAACCGAGCATGGTGTTAGAAGCGGACAGCTCGTTTCCGACCTTCGCGTGGATACCTGACGAGACAGCCAGCGCACAACAACCAGGACAAACTTCGAGTCCATATGTCACACGATACGGGAGGGTATCCCGGCCTCCGGTAAGGTACCCCGACCTGTGAATACGCTTGTGAGTGATTGCATTTAATGTCATTGTCAATCCTTCAGCATCTCTGTGCAATTTGCCGTAGTGATATTCATAAACATACACACGTCAGACTTGTTCGGTTGTGTGTGACCAAAGTGTGCGACATGTTCTGAGCTAATGTGTCATCGGCAGGCCTGAACCTCGAGGGGGTGAAGCGCGAGTTGGCGTCCCATCGCTGAGGTGCAGATGCGGCGCTCGATTTTCGACGCCGTCGCCGGCGCAGACGCCACCAGCACCAGATGTCGCCGGCGCAGGTGTCACCAGTACCAGATGTCGCCGGCGCAGACGTCACCAGAGCGGACGTCACCAGCACGAACGTCGCGAGAGCAGACGTCACCGACTGCAACGCCGCAGACCGAGCAGCTGATGCCACAGCTGCAGCTGATCGTGGCCTTGCCGGTGGTCGAAGCAGCCGTTTCATCGCGGTGCTTTACAGTGCAGAGAATAAGAGACATTTTATTTAGGGGGGAGGTGTGTTAGGATGTGTTAGTGCACTGTGTGTTAGGATGTGTTAGTGCACTGTGTGCCCGGTGCCACCTCTCGGCGCGCTGCTGGGCGCGCCACTGCGGACCGCCTCCCGCTGGGCGCGCCGCTGCCACCGGCGGCGCGGGGTCACGGCCGCAGCCGGGGGCGGCAGTCATTCTGGACCTGGGGCTCGCCACGCGTGCTGCTGCTGCTGCTGCCGTTGTGATACCCGACCTAATACATCACAAATGGAGACGCTGCCTTTCGACCTAACAGGTACATACAAATTTATCATGCTTTTAACGAACTCACCGTACTCACAACACATTTTCGGAATCATGACTTCAATCAATATGCAATGCAATCCATATGTAACATCTATCCATCCATACAGTTGATGGCCACTGGTCAGTGGTCACTCAAAAGGTCAGGTTGGGTCATAGAGGTCATAAACAGTTTTTCGACAATAGCTTTTGGTGGAGACACGATAGAGTCTGGGTGATAAAAGCATCTGGAATGTTTTCAGGCAACAATACAGATCGATTGCACTGAGGTCTGACCTTTTTCGGTCAGGTCATGACCTTGGCGTGACGTCAAGTTTCTAAAGTGACCTCTAAAGGTCAAATCCTAGTCCATTCAACGCGTCTCGACAAGGGAAACATGATGGCGGTAAAAATGGCATACACTAATTGAATCTTAAGTTGTTCCTGATTCCTGAAAATTTGTTTTATCGTAGTTGTGTACTAAACATTTTTCGCCCTCTGTGGGCAAATGCGAGTAGTTGACTTGAGATATATCTAAGAACCTGAACATGCCAGCGATAAAGATCTGAAAGAGCTATCGAATGCGTTTTTTCTGTCTTATGGTTCACGAGTGCCTAATGCGTCTGTTTGTGAAAGATATCAGAATCGGAGGAAATTTTATTGGAAAGTTGATGACCACAGCATTGACCTCAGAAAAAATGACTATTTTTGGAAGTACTTTAAAAAACTCTGGATTGTCTTTTTTCCGCGTGGCATTTCATTTCTCTTACTTCTTGAGACAATCGAGTGTAGCTAAAATGAGCCCCGCACCCTGACGAAATTGGCGGGGACCCACACCCGGGGGCGGGTTATATTCACTTCCGTTGGTGAATGGAGGCAAAGAACTTCGCGGATCTTTCTGAATTTAGCCACCGCGAGCTCCAGTGGAAGCCACAAAATGTTCGAACGGCATCGCAGTTGCCGTCTCTAAAATCAGTGGTTTAATCAAACGCAGCATTTGCCACTTGCCAGCGCCTAACTCAATAACACCCATCATCAAAGCCGCTTGTTTTCACTCGTGAATAGCGAGAATAGTTGACTACCCCGATTGATAAGGCTACGCTGTTGCAAGACCTTGAAGGTAAGCCCTGCTATTATAGTGTCGCTGCTTCATACCATTCACCGTCTTGCACATAGTGATTGCCTGCACTACTGGCTATGCATACTGCACTGCTCCATAATCTGGGACCGTGCATTGTCATTTGACACAGCGTCTTTGTCACAAATCATGCTTCGCTGACCGCAGTGTGACATCACTCCCGCCAATGGTGCCTGGATCGAGAACAGCGTACTTCCAGCGTACACGGATCACAATTTATAGAAGCGCCCAACCTGTACGGTGGAGAGCCGTGCACGGATCACACTAGGGCTGTTTCACGACGTGCCGCTTTGAGGCATTGGCGCTTAGCTTCCATGGGAACCTATAGCAGTAATACCAGGTTACGGCGGGTAGCGGCACTCATGAAACAGAGTCCCGGAGTAGGAGCGCTCGCCCTGTCCGGAGGGCGCACCGTGCACGGGTCACACCCTGACCGCTGAGCCAGGGGTGCTCGCTGACCGCTGGAAATCCCCGGCCGCGCCGACCGGCAATGTTGCGTCTCCCTGGACATGAAGAAACCTCCAGATCGTAATTGGGGTGTCGCCACCCTCGCGTCAGCGTTGCCAAATCGTGTTCAAGACTGAAAACGAGGTGACCGAATCACTGCGATGGGCGTGCGACCTTGCGCGTGAGTCGTGCCCCTGCGTGACGCTCCTCGGGAACTCTGCAAGTCACGACCTGGCGCTTTGGACTGGTTCTCTCGGGGCCTCCCTGACCTCTCTCTCTCTCTCTCTCTCTCTCTCTCTCTCTCTCTCTCTCTCTCTCTCTCTCTCTCTCTCTCTCTCTCTCTCTCTCTCTCTCTCTCTCTCTCTCTCTCTCTCTCTCTCTCTCTCTCTCTCTCTCACTCTCTCTCTCTCTCTCTCTCTCTCTCTCTCTCTCTCTCTCTCTCTCTCTCGCCTCTCTTTCGTTTTCTCGCTCTTCCCCTCTGCCTCACTTACGTGGAATCGCGACAGAATCTTACTATTCCCCAAATCGTGGAGCTCTCCCGTTTTACGGTACACAGCTGAACGCAAGCAGCGCAATACGAGTAGGTTAGACACACCTATAAAACACATGGTGGGCCCATTCCATGAAAAGTGAAGGTGAAGCTTACCACTATCATGTTTCCATGATTTGTCAACTCGCCTCCATCTCATTTCTGCCGACGAATCGGCTACTGAATTATTCACTGTCGCATTAGCGCATTCATCGCTGGCGACCCGCCGTGCTGACCCGCCGTGGTGACCCTTTCAGCGAACGGTTCGGGCCTCTCGAGGTCACCCAGTGAACCGGTGTTTCCCCATTCGCTGGAGATACCCGGCGGCTAAAGACGAGTGGCCATTGAGGCTGTAAACGAGATGCTCTCCTCAGCCTCGCTCGGTAGAGAGGACGCTCACCACGGCCGGGGGCAGTCATTACACCAGAGCACGCGTCTCGAGTCACGGTCCCAAACTTGGTCACAGATGAAAGGCCGCGTGGTAGGATGGTTCAACTCAATTAGTCATGATTCTTCTACTCATTGGCGACTATTATGATGCGACTAACGATGCCTGCCTCACGGCCCATTGCGTGTGATAATTTGACCTCCACTTGACGCTGATGAGCAGTTGCACAGATGCTGTAGCCAGTTAGGCTGGTTACAGGACAGAACGCTAAACACCGCCTCGAAAGATCGGTAAAGTGGCAATGGGCTGTTCTCGCTGAGCGGGCAGACTCTGGTCAACAGCTCCCTGCTCTGATACCCCATACGTGACAAACTCAGTCCCGGTGGGTTGTCACCAGCACTGACCGAGCGCTACCCCCGGGACCGCGGGCCACGTCTGCCTGTCACCCCGCTGCCGAAACGGACGGGGCAGAGCACCTTTCACCCGGTCGGCCTTCGCACCGGAGTGCGGGTCACCGCGGTCACCGTAGCATCGGTCACCGACCACCGCAGCGTCGGTCACTGGTCATCGGGCGTCGGTCACTGGTCATCGGGCGTCGGTCACTGGTCATCGGGCGTCGGTTATCGACCACTAGAGCATCGGTCACTATCAATGGTCTGTGGTCAGCAAATTGTCGGTCACTGGTCGACAGTCACCGGGATTTACGAGAGCAGAGTCGACGAATGTATTTTGGTTATGCTTGCATTTTTATGGGAGCCCAAAAACTGCTTCTATTGGTGATAAATTCAATAGAAAGGGACGATGACTGATGGCTTCGGAATGTCAAACAAAACGATTGCTGTTTCTGGACTATGAAAACCCTTGGTGATTTCATAACGCAGGTGATGTGCATTGTGCTATGTTTCTATTGCTCAGCGATACTTTACACGTAATGCGCGATCTATTCTAAAAGTCACGTAACTGTTCCATGTTTATTTTCTGGAAGCTTTGGAGCCGCGGTTATTGTTTGGCAGACTCGAAGCGGAACATAAATCCGATTTTCCGTATATATTTCTCTCTGTACGTACCTATATTTCTCTCTTATTTACATCTCACAATATGTTCCTACTACGAAAAGTATGTCTTATACCTATGTAAGTATTGCATTGCACACCAACTAACCACTACACAGAAAATATTTTTTAGGATACAACTTGTAAACACTTTAAATATATTTCATATAGGATAGGGTGGCAGTGTTGTTCAATACAGCACAAATACAGCTAAGATTCCTTAAAATAGCGTATACCTACGTTTCGGCTTTCCAGCTATGATCATACGCACTCGGAATGATGATAGACATGGCAGTACAAGCTCATTTCCGTGACGTCTAAGCTTAACGGTATGAAATTTACAAAGTTCTGGCGCTGGCAGTTGTGAACTTTCAAGATGACAGCACAAAGCTCATCTCGGGCCTCCTTTTCGGAGCAAGCAAGCAATCCAGTTCTCTGGCACGGGCTCGAAACTGAACCGTCGGCCGTCTATTCACATACCACTATCACCTACAAGGCGTCTCTCCGCGCCTCTCCACTCCTGTAAAAAACGACGGCAGCTTTCTGGCTGAGCTGACGAGCACCGCAGTGACGGCAGATTGCAGTGACGGCTCACATTTGGAGCATCTCGCCACAGTGTGGCAGCAGTGACCGTCTCACGGCCCTCCCGGCCGCCACCGCCGCCTCGCCGGCGGCTAGCCCTTGTAGTCGGGGCCCTTGCTGCCGCCCTGTGAGTACGCCTGGGCGGCGTACGCCTGCGGGTAGTTGCAGAACTCGCAGAAGCCCGGCTGGCCGGAGTTGCCCGGCGGTCCCTGGGGGCCGGTGAGACCGGGCCGGCCCTGTTCTCCGCGCTCGCCCACCCGGCCGGGCAGACCGACTCCCGGTGGGCCCGGCGGACCTGCAGGGGGCGGCACAGACGGGAGCGTCAGATTGTTCGGGAACGGGAGGCCTGAATGATTATCGATGTCAATAAAACAGCGTTTGGTTGATGACCACCATAGAGCAAAGCAATGTGTCCAAATGTATTAAATTAAAAATAACCATAGGTACACTCGGGGGCAGAGTGATGTTCCACCACTCCCTACCTATCGGGCTCCCATGGCTCAGCACTGGCTGCTGCCAGTGGCAGCACTGGCAGCACTGGCACTGGCAGGCAGTGCTGATCAGTGCTGAGGGCAGGCAACACTGGCAGCAGCCAGTGCTGAGCCATGGGAGCCCGATGGGTGGGGAGTGGTGGAACATCAATCTGCCCCCGAGTGTACCTTGACTTCAATTAAAAACGAGATTTTTTCAGACTTCCGGCTAGTTTATGTTAAGTTTTTTTTTTTTGTATGCAATGATACTAAATGTGCCGCACGCCCGTGTACTTATAGCATCAATAAGTGATCAGTTAGCACAGGGTCAAGGTCGGTCGGCGACTGACCTGGGTGTCCGGCCGGTCCCATCGGTCCCTCCATGCCGACACCCTCCGGTCCGGGCGGTCCCTGGTCCCCGCGCTCTCCGGGCGAGCCGGGCGGTCCCGGCGGACCACTGGCGCCGTTCAGACCGGGCATGCCACGGTCGCCGGGCGGACCACGGTAGCCGCGGTCTCCTGGGGGACCTGGGTCGCCAGGGAAGCCGCGCGGTCCCCGTTTGGAGCGTCCCGGCCGGCCGGCCGGTCCCTGCAGGCGTGCTGTCAGCTCCTCTAGGCGGTCCCTCAGCACGGTGGCGCAGATCTCGCGCACCTCCTCCTCCGTGTAGGAGCGGCCCTGGAGAGGTGGACATGGTAGACGGTCAGCAATCACTATGCCTGCAATCTCAAGGCATTTTCTGTGCGTAATTAGTAAGCACCTGAATAATTCATCAAAGTCAATTTATTGTCTTGCTTCTGTTCATAACGCACAGAAGTAGCAATGTTGTAACGCATTTACTTAATAGCAATCACGAAAGCTTTATGTGATAGGAAACTATATTAAGGTTGTTATTGCATACGGCATAAAACTTACAAAAACAACATCGCCATTATGATTTAATTACCAACGTCAGCTGTCGCGAAGGCCACGACGGACTCGGGACTTACCGGTGTTCCTGGGATGCCGTTTGTTCCGGGTGCTCCCCGGGGTCCGGCCGGGCCCGCCACTCCGGGGTAGCCCTGTTGACCCGGCTCGCCCACTGGGCCCTTGTGACCCATCGGGCCGGGACGACCGTCCGCGCCGCGCTCACCCGGCTGGGGACAGGGGGGGCATTCCACGTCAAATCAAACACCGAAATCCGTCATCCCCTTCGATTTTTCTGAAAATTTGTAGGCAGACTGGGCATGGTTCAAAACTGAGTTACGTATAATATTTTCGAAATTTGATAAAGTATCGCTGAGATATAGGTCATCGAATATAGCCAAAAATGCCACACATCAATTTTTTAAAGGTCTATAACTCTGGTTAATTTTCTGTTATCAAAATGATATTAACAGGGTCTTGTAGGCAATTGATAAGGCTTTGATTTTTAATTATAAAGTTAAATTGAAGTGACCTTGAAATGCATTTGACCTTGAATTAAAACAGAAAAATTTAAATAGCAAAAAACACGTCACCTTCGATTCGGGTAATTTTTACATATTATGTCCGTCACAATGTTCCTAACCATCTGTGAAAAAATTGGAGTGGGCCATTCATAACTCTCGCGGCAAACGCCGTTTTCATGCATCAACATCACGCAAACGCGCGTGACCTTGAAAGACAGAGTCAAGACATGCTTGCTTGTGTACACTTTCTGAAATGAATGATTGCTGATTAGTGATATCCCAAACTCTGCGAGAATGGAAATACATAGTCATCGTAGTCAAGTATTCAAGTTCCATAGTAAAAGTGTCTCAGGCAAACGGTATTTTGCGGTGAATTTTGAGCCGTGTGGAAATGCATCATGAAGCCAAAAATTCAACGAAAACATTATCACGCAACGATATCTTCACGTCTTTTTATCTTCACTATACGAAAGAATATACATTTTTGAGTATGTATGGGGAATTTCTAGTTAATCCAATAATAAATATGGCAGTTAGAGACCTGCTAAGAGTAACATGTCGCCGGCTGAGGAGGGATCGGCCGACGCGGGAAACGCAGCAATCACAATTTTGTGTTTACACGTTCATATTTCAATTGTTTACCAACCGATTTTCAAAATTCTTACACCATAAGATTGGCTGTATATTTCTTAGTCTTCTCACAAAATTTGACGCGAATCGAACGTAATCAGCGGTAAGGAGCGCGATGTAAAGACGGAACCGTTCCGTTCCGTCCCGGCACAGTCTACAATTCAGGCGGCGGCTAGCGGTCGGCGCCGGCTGCCGAGTCGCCGCGTCGCCGCGGCGACAGGATGTTCACTTTACACCGCTATTACTAGACCAGTTGTGAACCGATTTTCTTCTTGCTTGCACGATGAGACGTGCAATTCAATTTTGGACAGGTAGCTATAATTAATTTCGCATTAATACTATGAGATATTGGCGAAAAACAGGAGGGGTGGGGCGAAATTCACTCTTCCCCCTCCACTGCGCGTGCTAACATACGTTTGCATATGTGCCATTTTCTTCAAAACTTATGAATAGCCCACTCTAATTTTTTCACAGGTTGTTAAGAATATGGTAGGCAATAAAATATATGAAAATTAGCCAAATCGAAGGTGACGTGTTTTTTGCTATTTCAATTTTTGTGCTTAAGAACAGAGTTAAGCAAATTTCAAGGTCATATATTTAAGTAGGTGCAATTCTAAACAAATGCTTAAGAAATTACCTAAACAGTAAGGTTTATTTCATTCAAATCAAACAAGTACAACCAAAGTTATGGTCGTTCAAAAATATAAAGATGCAACATTTTGTAAAAATTCGATGCCCTATATTTAGAAGACCTGTGGTCAGAATGTGCAAAAAACATCAATGTAATGTTCGGGGCGACACAGGAACTCGCTCACAAATTTATAATGAAATCGCTGATGGTAAGGTGCAAAACAGCCGATTTTTGTTCGATTTGACGTGGAATGCCCCAGGGGTCACAGGTCAGACGAGGGGTGACAGGTCAAGCGAGCTCAGAAGGGTCAGACGAGGGGTCACAGGTCAGATGAGCTCAGGAGGTCTGACGGGTCACAGGTCAGATGAGTCCAGAGGGGTCACAGGTCAAACCGGCTCAGAGAGGTCATTGCTCAGATGAGGGTTCTCAGGTCAGATGAATCCAGTAGGGTTGCAGGTCAGACGAGCTCGGAGGGGTCACAGATCACACGGGTTCATAGGGGTCACAGATCAGACGAGCTCATAGGGTCACGGGTCACTTAAATCTGCGCTGGACGCGTAATTATGAATAAAATGCCGTATTGCGACATAATTACGAGAGCAAAATAAATCATGGGCACTTCAATGATATTAGTAATAGTCGGAAAAAAAGAGGTGGAAGAGCGCACTTGGCAACTGCATCATGCGGATCACTATTGTCCGATGTCCATCGATTACGCTATTGCGATCGATTACACGAGGGCAGCGCTTTTCGAGTAGCGCTGCGGCCCGAAGGTTGGGACTTTGAATTGTGAAAAAACGCCCGCCCGCCGCAAAACGCAAACACCGCAAAACGCGCAAAACGCACGCCGGAAACGCCAACGCAAATGTCGCAAGAAGAAAAAACATAAATAAATGCCCGCCCGCCGCAAACCGCAAAAAAAACGCAAAAACGCCGCAAAAAATAAAACCGCCTACATCGCACGCACGCTAACCGCCAACCGAAAACGCCTAAAAAGCGCCCAACCGCCGCCAACCGCCGACAAATTGAACACCGCAAACGACGCAAAAAAGAAAACCGCCCGCATCGCCCGCACGCCCGCCGCCAAACACAAAACGCCCGCCCGCCCGCGCAAAACGCAAACACCACAAAACGCGCAAAACGCACGTCCGAAACGCCAAAGCAAACTTCGAAAAAATCGCACGACCACCACAAATCGCGAAAAAACGCAAAAACGCCGCAAAAAAATAAACCGCCCGCATCGCACGCACGCTAAACACCAACCGAGAACGCCTAAAAAATCGCCCTCCCGCTGCCAAACGCAAACACCGCAAAAAGCGCCAGGCCGCCGGAAACCGAAAAAAAAACTTAACACCGAAAAAGACGCAAAAAAAAACGCCCGCATCGCCCGTCCACCCGCCGTCAAACAAACACCGCTAAAAACACAAAACACCCGCCCGCCGCAAAACGCAAACACCGCAAAACGCGCAAATCACACGCCCGAAACGCTAACGCAATTCAGACCAAAGTGGCGCGAGACGTTACATGCATACCTCACAGTAATTTATTAATGCATGAAAATGATGAGATTCTTTACTTTTATCCACTTTAGGCAGTTAATGGCGCACTTAAGACAAAAATGGCGCACAACAGCCTATTTTTGTCTCGCTTCCTATGTGTCGCTGCCTAGTTTCGTGCACTACCGTTGCAAGTTTCGACGAAATCGGCGCGTTGAAATAAATACGCGTAATATTCCTCGACTTTAGCCACTGTAGCTTAACCCGCGAGTTGCTGGGGGGGGCGTTAAACGCCCCCACTTTTTTCGCCGGGCCATAGCATAAAAACGGCGCGCCGCAGGCGCGCCAAATTTTGGGTACCTGTAGGGAATTGATTTAAGTTTATTGTGACAAAGTTTAAAAAAAATCGGTCGGAAAATTTTTGAGGAATCGAGGTTTTAGTGACGTCATTATTTCTGAGTTTTCGACCAAAAACGGCATATGTTTAAAAAATCATATAAAATCACAGAATAGATATACAGACATGCCGTAAACGCCATTAGACTGTCAATACCATGATCAATCAAATGGCTATCTTCGATTATTGATTATTGCTCCGCATTTTCCATAATCTTGAACTGAATCTTGGCACTTTTTCGTGACTACTTCACGACCATGATGCATGAATTTCTTAAATTGAACTTTTTGAGCCAAACACGTACACATATGATAAAATGAATGTCACCATCGTGTTCTACGCTCCAAATTACCTATAAAACATGTGTCACAGGCTGCGAATATCAGTTTTGATTTTCGGGGATATGTGCCTACCCGGTTGACCTGACCTGGACCCTGACCTTTGCTTGACTGACCCCTACATGGAGCTAACACTCTTGTAGGCCTTATAAGATGGATTGTGCACCGTTTTGACAGAGTTTATGGCGAGAGGCGCCCATTGCAAAGTCCTGAAGTCCATGCTACTGAAAGCCCGATTTCAGGTGTTTGACCTGACCTTGACCCGACCTGTGACCTCAAAATTCAACTTTAAAGTACTCATCTGAAGCGTCTCGTCGCGCTCTTTCGTTTGCCGCCTCGTGCGTTTCGCTGCGCCTATTGGTTCTCGAGTTATCGGCTGGGGGCGTTTAACGCCCCCCCCCCCCCCCAGCAAACGGTGGGTGGCGAAATACCCCAGCAACTGCCGGGTTAAGTGGCGCACTAGAGACAAAAACGACGCACACGAGTTTGTTGTATTCGTAGCGCCGTTTGTGGCACAGGTCATTTTAATGCATCAATGTTGCAATTTTCGTCGAAATCGGCCCATAAATGGCAAAGTTATGGCCAAAACGCCTTACATTGAGAGTGCACATGGTCACTGGAGGTGGGGTGCCACGTGCCACGTGTGGCCTAAAGACATAAAGCGACCATCCTTTTGCACCAGATGAAAGGGGTCGTCAGTGCCCATCGGTAGACTTTCGGGTGCGCCACCATTGTCTCCCAGCGGCCGATCAAACTTGGCCAATCCTTAAATTAGGACTTACCTCACTATTGGTCACAATATCTCCGGAATGGAGAACCCCGGGCGGCCACGTGTTTGACACGTAGTAGACCCAACACCAATGGTCATTATCGCAACCGACTTGGAACTCTGGCTCAAACCCATGCAGTGAGGTTATCACCTGAGCATAGTTATGCACCAATTGCTCCTACCCCAAAGTGCTACACCCACGTGGCGCACGTGCGAAAACACGTGCACCACGTGATGAGGTGTACAACTATCCTAGAGCATCCCCTTGACGTCTGACCTCGATTGGTTCCGCTGGCACGCATTGTTTGCGCGGTACAGGCCATCATACTAGCAGTGGTCAAATTTTCACGGAGGTGGTCCCCTCAAACAAGTGCGGGGCGTGCACGTGCATTTCAATCGCCCCATATATGGCCTATGCCACCTGGTAGGCGACATGTGGGTGCATATCATACTGAAACATTTTTAACATCTAACGTGGAAATTTTGAGCAAAATCGATTTAAGTAATTTTTTCAAGAAATCCCATTGACTTAAGACGTGAAAATTTGTGCGCGTGCCACGTGCAAAAAAGTTAATTATATTTCAAGCGATTGACATTGACGAACGAACCATACTGACCGACTACCGGTACTCAAAAAACAAAGAAAATCTATCGAGCCGATTTTGAGCAAATCAAGAAAACCCGTTTTGGCCCATTTCGTAACGTTAAACCAATGGCGGCTGCACGTGCAATTTGCACCCCCTTCCCGAAGCTGTCCGAAACGGCGCCGCCGGCTCATGATAGATGCCGGGCGGCCACCCAGCACATAGAAGCCCATCGCATTACAAGCACCCGTCTGCGAGAAATGCGATGCCGAAAATCCACCTAATGTTGAAGCCTATGGGCCTAAAACACGTGCACGTGCCACGTGCAAGAAAAATAATTATATTCTTAGCTGAGGGTGTTTCGTGGTAGATAATCTGTGGGGGCAGCTGCCCTGAAAATTTAATCAAAATCTATCGGTTCGTGTGCAAACGGTGCAAGGTGCCCCAATTCGCTGCACCAAACACGAATCCTATCCCGAAATGGAAACACCCTCAGTTTGTTTTTCAATAGAAAAACACAATTCTAAAGAATAGTGTTTGTCTAATGAAGAAACAACCTTCGGGTACGCTGTTACATTCTAGCGGCCTGATGTTGCAACTTGCTGAGTGCCTATCATCACTGTGTCCATTTGACTACTGATGATGCTCTCTTGCGAGAAGAACGGGTTCAGGCGGCCCAGATACCAGGCGTCGGTAAAAAGTCGTGCCATGTCGCTCATCGCTGGCCGGCTCGCTCCGGCAGCTGGGAGCCACCTGTTGTGCGATGGCCGGCGGGTCACAAACTCGGCACCGACCGGCACCGTCTCGTAGCAACCGTTCATCGATTCAACCAGACGGCCACACACGCAGGCACCCATGGAGCTGGACGGTGGTTTGGATCGCAGTCAGTTTTTAACAGGGCTTGCGAGCGAAGGGCGCGTTGATTATACGTGAAAGCGTATATTCTAATCTGGCACGTGATTTTAGCTGGGGAAATAAAGTGCAACATATTTTAAGAAATAAATTTTTGCCTTTGGTTTTCGACAAAGCTTTCGAGGTGTATTTTAAATTGCCAACAAATGGTGCGAGCATCGTATTAACGCAAAAAAAAGCTGTCAAAAGTGAGTGCAAAAACATTATATGCAATCAAGAAGCTAAAGACGTTTGGACGGAATCTGTGTGATCCCACAAAAGTTCGTCATGGCTGCGAGCATGATACCAGCGAACGTATCTCTTGTGAGATATGACAACCCGGTTCTCGTCACCAAACATACCGAAAAGAAAACACCCTATGCGAAGGACAAAACCACGGTGCCGGTGCCACCGGAGGGCCTGGGCCCGGTGCCCACAGCGGCCCAGTCCGGTCTGAGCAAGCGGCCCGGTCACGGGGACGCCAAACAGGATACGGAGGAGGTGCTCAACTCCATCATCCCGCCGCGCGAGTGGGAGGAGGAAGGCGGCCAGCTGTGGCGCCAGCAGGTCTCCACCACGCCGGCCACCCGGCTGGACGTGCTCAACCTGCAGGAGCAGCTGGACATGAAGCTACAGCAGCGGCAGGCCAGGGAGACAGGAATCTGTCCGGTCAGACGCGAACTGTATTCACAGGCATTTGACGAAGTGATTCGTCAGGTGAGGTTCCCTTTTGTTATAAGAAAATTATGAAAGTTGTCAGTAAAGGCTAAAATAAAGCTGACGTGTCGGTTTGTTTGACGACATAGATAATGTTAAAATACATATCCTATTCTCATAACTGTAAATAATGATGTTTATAATGACTGGAAAATAATGATAACCGTTGATAGCGGTTATCACCTATTTTGGTGATACCGCTATCACACCAATTTGGTTCAATATTCGTATTCCTATTTGTTCGAACAATGCAGTTATTGGGCACTACTCTCCAAATCTATCTCGCCAGGTGACGATCAACTGCGCCGAGCGCGGCCTGCTGCTGCTGCGGATCAGAGACGAGCTGCGGATGACGCTCTCCGCCTACCAGACGCTCTACGAGAGCAGCTGCGCCTTCGGCATGCGCAAGGCGCTGCAGGCCGAGCAGGGCAAGGAGGAGCTGGAGGCGTCCATCGCGCAGCTGGAGGTGGACAAAGAGGAACTGCTGCGACAGGTTAGCTGGGCACAGAGGTCACTGTCACTTTCACATAGCTTGCCTGTGGAGGGTCATTTCTGAGTCAGGGTTCTGGAATGACAGGAAACTTGCCAGAGCCAATGCTTTCAAATGACTAGGGGGCATGCTTTGACGTGTTAAGTTCACACGCTGGTGTTGTCATTAACATTCTAGCATTGAAATGCGTGCTGATTGCTCTGTTCCCACTAGGTGACGGAGCTGCGTGCCAAGTGTGACCAGATCGAGCGGAGGGCCCAGGAGCAGCGGCAGGCCGAGGAGCGGAAACACGCCGAGGAGATCCAGTTCCTGAAGCGTACCAACCAACAGCTGAAGACCCAGCTGGAGGGCATCATAGCGCCCAAAAAGTAGACGGCATTGGCTTGTAAGAAAAACTAACATTGTGAAATGGGATGGATGGGATGAGTGGTATAGGTGGGATCCACTTGAATGAAATGCGTTTGTCTAATTCTAGGAGTCGGCAGCAGGAATTATTTGTTGAATGGGATGATAGATCTGTTTTAGAGCGCGATATGGGATGAATATCGAGGATCAACTGCCACTTTGTCGTTGTCCAGTGAAATCATTGTGAGCTGCACTGGAAGATTTGCGCAAATTTGTTACTTTATATACCTACCTGTAACAGACGTTCACAGTTCTTTCAAATAAAATGATATATCAATAGAGATCTTGGTTACTCTCCGTTGTCGGGTACTTGTTCTCTCACGGTTTACTGACACTAATAAGAACGGAAAGAACTCGCACGTCTCTGCAATGATATGATCAAAATCAATGCGAGAATGATCCAAACTATGCCTAAATTTGTATTGTTTCTATTTCAATACCAAAGAGAAATATAAATAGATTTAGAATAGATGAGCTTTGGACACGCCAAAAGTTCGTCCGTTTTATTTTTCTTTGGTATAATACAATAAACGATACACATTTCTGGCATGTCATTGATCATTTTCACATCGATTCTGACAATACATGGTGTGTCAAAAGTGGAAATAGCCGGTGCGCCGTCTGGCAACCCGGCAGCCCGCCGCCATAGGGAAATTCATGCTTTTTGTCGCTTTTTCGCTCCCTATGAGTCACTTGATCTAATTAGAGCTTAACTAGGAACGAGGCGGGTCACGTGGACATATTCGGGAGCCGAATACGGTGTTTTGGAACCAATACCTGGGAAACCCTACCCGCCCAATGCGAGTTTTTAAGAGTCTGCATGCCCAAATTAACGTTGAGCGCGGCCGTTTTCGGTCGGTTTTCCGCGACCTTGTGGCGAAATCGCCTTATTAGCGAGTATCTGCTATATGGATCTATATGGATCTAATATTAGCGAGTATCTGCTAATGCAGTTTCTTGGCTTACATAGTACGGACACAATCATACATACTTCCTGCCCTTGGTTATTCCTCACTTGAATGAAAATTTTGCTATGATAACTATTCCAAGCAGTTAACAGGTTTTAGTGCAGTGCCAATTCGGAACCGTTCAGCGCCGCCAGTCTCCCAGGCGGTGCGTGACGGCTGCCGCCGGCCGCCGCGCCGCCGCTCTGGCAGGGTGTTTGACTTCATATCTCTGTTGCTAGAAAAGTTGTGGACCGATTTACTTCATTCTTGCATGAAAAGATCCGCCATTCAATTCTTAGCAGATAACGAAAATTTGACGTCGATTGCACGATCCGCTGCCTATATTGTGGTACTGCCATCTATTGACAAGGCTGGTGAACTAAAGCCGGGCGGCTATTTCCACTTTTGACACACCATGAATATCTACATTCTACAACCATGCCAACCACCCAAACAATAAAAGCTGTTTTGAAGCGTCGACTCAGACCCTCCTCCCCGCTACCCCCTCCCTCGGCCGACCGACCGGAGCGTCAGCTGGCCATCTGCCCTCGGGCGAGGGCTGGTCACGTGACCTCGCGCGCCGGGAGGTCGTATTATTCGGCACGTCAGGGGTCGAGCCAAAAGGGGAGTGAAATGGAAAGTGCGGGGCTCGCATCGTAGTTGCAGTGAACTGTGCAGTGCGATATACGGGACGGAAGTTGAACTGATGGAAGCCTTTTATCGGTAATTTTTGACTGCGGGTGATTGTAGTGTAGGTATAATGGTAACGACTGTGATGTGAAAAAGTGCAGCAATTTGTGTCCTTCATTTATATTTCGAGGAATCTCACCAACATCAAGGAGTGCAAGGAAGCAATCCAGAAAGGTAAGTCTCAGCCTTTACGGGCTTTGTGTTGCTTCTAAGCCGTGCTTCTAAGCCTAAAGCCGGCCTTTGTATCAACAATGACTGGTTATTTAACCCGACACTTGGCTGCCTACCCAACCACAAATTGAAGTGCTCTCGTCTCTCGACATCTTTGTCCATTCCGAGTGCCGTGCCATTCATTTCATTGGGTAATCTCACGGACACCTCTCACCAGTGATTTGCTTTCATGCACTGTGTGTCTGCAACAGTAGCTCTATTTTGGCTGAATAAGGAAGAAGTCATCGTCTCAAAGAGATTATAAGCAATAAGCACGGTTCCAGACAAAATGGCCAGGTATTTGCGCGTACCGTGATGTAACGTGTAACGAGTACAGAGTGTCGTCACGTGGTGTGGCGTTGTGTTTAGCAGTACCATATTACGTGGTGGCATAGTGTGTACCACTGTGTACCGTTGATTATTGTGTACCGTGTCGTATCGTACACCGTAATGTATCGTATACCATGAAGCATCTTTTATTGTGGTGTACCGTGCATGTTGTACTGTGTATTGTGAATTATCGTGTACGGTACCGTACCGGGTGCTGTGGTGTAATGTTCGCCACTCACCATTCCGGGTTCTCCGGCCGGGCCGCGCGGTCCCGGCATGGACACGGGCCGGCCCTCGGTGGAGGCCGCCAGGAACTGCACCTCCCCGGGGGGCCCCGGCGGACCCGGAGGCCCCGGCGGGCCCTTGTGGCCGGGCAGACCGGGCAGACCCTGCGGGCCCAGCTCTCCGGGCGGGCCCGAGCTGCCGGTGGGCCCCTGCAGGCCCCGCGGACCCACGGGGCCCGCCTCGCCCTGGGCACCCTGGTCGCCCTTGAAGCCCATCTTGCCTCGTGCGCCGGGCCGACCCGCGCGGCCGACCTCGCCCTGTGGACCGGAGGGCGGGAGATCAGATTTGGAGTCATTGGTTCATCATTTGTGCAAACTATCTTGCAAAATGTATGAAAATGACTAGTTTTAAGTGAGTTTTGTTTTTATACCAGTACCTGCCAATGTAACATAGGTAACACACCACAGGTCATATGACTGTTTGAGCCCCCGAGGTATAAGCTGGCGTGACCAATAGTCCCGACACGAGATGTGCTGAGACGTTAACGTCAGACCGATGACAAGTTTATGTCAAATGAGTAGTTACACCGTTCTCCCTCACACCCCTCGACTCACCTGCGCGCCGTCCTTGCCCGGCAGTCCTGGCTCGCCGCGGTTGCCTTTGGGTCCCGGCTCGCCCTCCGTCCCCTGTCGTCCCGGGTGGCCTTTGAGACCCTGCAGTCCAAGCGGGCCCGGCGGACCCTGCGGCCCAGCCTCTCCGCGCGGCCCGGGAGTACCGTCCTGGCCGGGCAGGCCGGTCTCTCCTCGTTCTCCGGGGATGCCCTGTACTCCGGGAGGCCCCTGAGGCCCGACGGCTCCGTCTCGGCCGGCCTCTCCGCGGTCACCCTTCTGGCCTTGCAGGCCGACCGCGCCGGCCACGCCCACCGGTCCCTGGGGCAGGGGGACAGGTCAGACTCGGGAACACTAGGGGAACGGTGACAGGGGACAATCGGGGACACTGAGCGGCAGTGGCGGGGGTCAGAATGAAGTTAGGCGCGCTTGAAACGTTACTGATATGGTATGACAAAATGCAGCTATGGCGATTCGTCGCCTGACCCTTTTCTCCTGAATGTTGGCCCCAGAGCGATGTAGCGGTCCCCCCTGTACCAGCAGACAGAACTATCAGTTCATGTGACCGCCACCAGTTAGTGCCACTTACCGGCATTCCCGAGGCGCCGGGCGGTCCCTGGGGTCCGGCCAGGCCCGGCAGACCGGGCTCGCCCTTGGGACCGACGCTGCCGTCTAGTCCTGGCTCGCCGGGGAATCCTCTGAGGCCGTCCTGGCCGGGTGTGCCGGTGGGACCCCGCTCACCTGCCGGGGGTGTCAGTCGAGGTCATAGGGGTCACAGGGGTCACCGTCGGTCTGAGAGAGAAGGCAGGTAGATGCCAATGGAGGACGACGAAACAGGGTAGTGTGCAACGAAACACCACGTCATTCTGAAATTTACAAAGCCGTTAAGTGACTATGCTGAAGCAGGAAGTAGAAACCTGTCTTTCACGAACCGTTTGGCAACTTTTTGAGACATTTATTGGCTAGTTACTTTACCGTCGGCTCTTCCACAAGCAATCGCATCTAGATTGATTGATTGCGCTTACATATATTGACATGCTGCCTCATAGCTCGATTTTGTTTGGCGATGCTTGCCACCCGAGATCCCGCTCAGTCAATTTTACCCCTTTTGTCCCTTTGTGAGTCGTGTCTTCTGTATGTCCCTTCCTCTGGTCCGATGGCCATCGTCCTCCTTTCTCGCCTAGTCTGCTGTGCCTTCTTTTATACTGTAGCTGTATTTATCTTGTCTCCCTCAGGGCCTCGTCTAACATGTTAACTGGGGGGGCAATTGCCTCCCCAGTGGAGCGGATTGCCCCCCCAGTGGCCAACATTTGCCCCCCCCCCCAGTCAAAACGTAAACTTCTCACAAAATTACCTTCTCCGCAATACGTTTTTGTTAGGAATCTTACATGGATTTAACGAGAAACACTAAATAATTTGTTCAATAACTGTTCAGTGTTCATGGCTACGGGAAAAGACAGGGTTTTGTGATTTTCAGAGCTGGGCCCCGTTTCACGGCACGCCGCTTCACTCCGCTTCACTGAAGCGGCGAGTTAAACGGAACCTCCGATGCTAAGGTAAGACGTCATCACTAAACGCCAGCGCGCTGTATTATATTGCTTGCAGTATTGTTTCGCATTGAAATCAGAAATATGGCCGCTACATTTTATGTTTGTATTCCGGGACATATCTTAATGCGAAGCAATACTGCAAGCAATATAATACAGCACGCTGGCGTTTTGTGATGAGGTCACATCGTAGCATCGGAGATTCCGTTTACCTACCTACCTCACCGCTTCAGTGAAGCGCGCTGAAAAGAAGTGAAGCGGCGTGCCGTGTAACAGGGCCCAGAGAGCGCCGAGAAGCAAATTGTAAAATGGCAGCTGGCCAGCGACCCAGCTCGTGTTTGCCCCCCCCCCCCCCCCCCCAACACACAAACTCAACGAAACGCCCAACACGGATAAGTATGTTTATCACTGTCTGGTGGGTCAATGTGAAGGTACACTAATGCCTCGCCCGTATTGGTGTTTTTCCAGTCGCGAACGTAAGGGGGAGTGGTCCGTTGGACCTCTTGCTGTTTCGCCCCTGATCGAGCTAGAGCTTCGCGGAACAAACGACCGTGTTGCCCGTGACGAGAGAAAAACGATGATACCCAATTTTAAGATCCTTAGTCATCAGTTGACCTTCCAGGTCAGGTCAATGACCCAAAAGTCGGGGAAATCGGGACCTGTTAGAACGTCGTAAACTCAGTAAAGGGTGGCTACTGGCTGTTATGTTTTTTCGGGGTGCTGATCACGAATATCATGTTAGTTATGATCATAGATAATGTCTCCATGCATTTAGGCCAGGTCGGGTCAGATCAGGTCAGATCAACCAGTATGGGTTTTGCCGGGTATTCGTAGTAGGTGGCAACCACCTCTGACAGCTTCGTAACATGTTGCGAAGGCACCAAAACTTATTCGTAATTGTTCAAATGGTTGCTAAATTCGAAATTAGCTCCAAAAACTAGTCTAAAAGTGGGTAAAACTCGAAAAAGTGAACAGAGGTCATCGAAGGTCAATGACCTGACCTGACCATTCGGAGACCTTGACACCCACCCTAATGCAGGGGAGCAACATCATATCCCATGTTTAAACGCTTGAAACCACGAAAAGACTGCAAACGCTCGGCTAATGCGAGCCGACGATAGGCCAAATTGCAATTCCGGCTAAACCTGGTCTCGAAAAGTAACTCACAGGTCAAAGGTCATTTGGGTCAGGGTCATGAAATTTTCAGAGTTGGTGTGAAATTGATAAACGCGAGGGTATTGAAAATTGTGTCGCAATCGGTCGCTTTTTGCGCGACTTATTTGCGAAAAACCGAGAGGAGTCCGTTCGACCCTCCCCCCCACGCCCCGCACCCCTCCGCTATGTATACGGGCGAGGGTTACGGTATGGCTCAGACCGCCTGTTTTTTCTGTTTTTTTTTTTCTTTTGTTAAAAAAATCATGGTCTCAGGGCTGTGACGAAAATCAAGTGGCCTAAATCCGGTGAGAAAACAGGATTTGGGGGTACCCTAGGTTTGACTCCTTCAGTCTCTGCCCCCCCAGTGAAAATTCCTTAGACGAGGCCCTGGTCTCCCTTCCTCCAACCCGTGTCTCCTCCGCTGTCCCCCGTCTCACCCTTGTCTCCTCGCGGTCCCTGTGGTCCGCTGTCTCCGCGTGGTCCGGGCGGTCCAGCTGGTCCCTCCTGTCCAGTGAGACCGGGCAGACCGGGGGGACCGGGCGCGCCCGTGGGTCCCGGCAAAGCCACCGTCTCCGAGTCCCCTCCGCCGCCGAAACCAGGAGGGCCCCGCGGGCCGGGCGGGCCCTAGGGAAGTGAACAGGGCGGGCAGGGGTCACGGAAGGTCAAATTGATTGATGCAAATTGATTGATGCCTCACAATGCAATCAATGCCCAAGAGTCAATAGATACTGTGAAGTGAAACGCTTTACAATTTCATTTCATTTTGGAATCTCATCTCTTTTACAAAATCTTTTACAAAATCCACATGGCGCTCCAAATATGAAAATAGATAATATGGAAGCATATTGGAGCGGTGATATAAAGCTAAGAACCACAAGCATCATTTTTTTCTCGAAAGAATAACACGTGAAAAACTTGATTATTCATAAATCATCTGTAAGGCTGTAAAATATGGAAGTTGATAAATTATCATGTGCATGAGCCATGGACTATGTAAACTAAACAATTCAGTCGCGGCGTCGCGTCCCTCTGTCCACTGCGCCCCACGCGCTGACTGTCGGTGACGGTCACTGACCGGTAGTCCCTGCTGGCCGACGGGTCCCGGTACGCCCGGCTGGCCCTTGGTACCGGGAGTACCGGGGGTACCAGGCGGACCGATTATGCCCGGCGAGCCGCGCATCCCCGGCTCGCCGATCGGGCCCGGCCGTCCCGGCACACCGTCCTGTCCGGAGGCGCCCTGAAACAGCACACAGCACACCCACCGGTCATCGCACAGCGCATACGTACTGGTCATCGCACAACAGTACACAACACACCCACCGGTCATCGCACAGCACCCACTGGTCATCGCACATCAGCACACATTGGTCATCGCACAGCAGCACACATCCAGGTCATCGCACAACAGCCGGCCGTCCCACATTATTTCATACTATTGTGCAAGTATCCGAAAAACTATAGGTACGCTTCAAAGTTTCAAAGTTCCTAATCCTCTTTTATTTTTAACGCGACAATTCTGAAAGTGAATGGTAAATGAGTGGTCCAACTGTTTTTCGGTCTTTTTTTGTCTGATCTGTCAATAATCCCTGTCCTGTTCGGTCCGGTCTGCGTTGGTCCACTGACCGGTGTGCCGTCCACACCGGGCGGTCCCGGTGGTCCGACCGGTCCCACGACTCGGGTGATATCTCCCGGAGGACCAGGTGGTCCCTGGAGACCATCGGTGCCGGGTCGGCCGTCCGTGCCGCGGTCCCCGGCCTCTCCTTTCAGACCCTGCAGACCTTGCACACCCTGCCAGACACAGAGAGATGGGACAGTCAGATAGACGGGAGTGAATGTGTAACGCTCGACAGGTGCCAGACATAGACGGGCATATATATGTTACAGTGCGTCCGCGAAATCCGTGAGTTTGCGAAGTTACTAGTTAATCCGCGAAAGGTAGGTTCTACATACATGTAGAACCTACCTATCTAGTCCTGAACCGAAGCAGATGATGATATAGGGAAAGAAAGAGAGGGAGAGAGGGGTAAAGAGAAAGAACTGAAGCAAGAGAAGAACACAAACCAAGCACCAAGTATCAATCCGATGAACACAGCGTACTGGATGACAATTTATAGCACCATGCTACGGGGAGCTGCTAGAAAGATTCTGAGTGCTTATTTCCGTTACGTATTTCTGTAAATCAGCGGCGGTGCCAGGCCCAGCTCGCCGGTCGTCGCGGGAGGTGCCATTACCTGTAGACCACGGTCTCCTCGCGGTCCTGGTGGACCCTGGTCCCCACGGTTGCCCTTCGGTCCAGGCCGCCCTGCCAGGCCGGGCAGGCCCGGTGGACCCTGCAAACCCTGTAATGGCAGGCAAAATGGAGCGTTAGTGAGGAGCACTTGATTCATAGCCAGACACAGACAAATTAGCAAGGAAGTGACGGCAAATGGCGAAAGACGACAGTGAGTTATTTTTGCTTTTGCCACATATCAGTCCTGTTTGGACTTGGAGGGTGGCTGTAAAACGGTTGTTTAGTATATATCACAAAACAAGATGTGATAACCAGTAGGAACTAGCTATTTATAGCACATCCAGCTTTCGTTAGAGCTGCACAATGCACGTTACACATCTCTACTCCTCTTCTCACTTACCTGCTCAGGCCCCCAGGCTACTCACTGTTCACCAGACAGGCCAAGCGCCCCTGGCTTACTCCATCCTCCCGTCAATTACCCTGGAAAACTCACCACGAGTCCGACCTGGCCTGGCGGACCCTGTGCGCCCGGGTAGCCGGGCACCCCTGGCTCTCCAATGGGCCCAATCGGTCCGATCGGTCCGGGAGGGCCCTCGGGACCCTGCAACACACACCAGAGAAACAGTGGTAAACACGGGACAGACGCTGCTGCGCAACTATGAATGGGTGCAGTCAGGTCACCGGCCAACGGTTGATGGGTACCGAGCAACAGCAAGTTGATGAGGCTTTTTAGTTATACCATGCTTAGACATCGAGGACTATTCTTGTAATTATGATTAAAAGCAAGGTAGACGTCAAAAAGTTTCTCATCACCATTCCGATAAAACTGTACTTTTCACTTACAACGACAAAGATTACGTGCAAATTGCTACTTCCAGAGGCTCTGGCAGCTTTAGCGATGAGGCGCCGTCGCCCAGTGAGTGACTGACCATGGTTCCGTTGAGGCCGGGCGGGCCCCGGGGACAGGTGATTTCACAGTCTGGACCCATCTGTCCTTCCGTTGGTCTCGGTGTCTGCAAAGCGGCAAACAACCAGCTGTGTCAAATGCCTAGTTGGGGCTATTGCCAGGTCAACGCCAGCTTTGTTATCTTTTATTTTTCTTAATGTTTTACAGCATAGCCAGTCATGCAGTAACGTTTATTTAGTGTTGGGTCTTTGTCCGGCTTTTGTATTTCATGAATGCATGACTTTGCATGAAAATGTGTTATATAATTAGGCACTTCATAAAGTGACGGGGAGCTATCGAAATTAAATAGTGATTCATACTCGTGGTGTGTAATAAATTTTCGATTATTTCCTTTCTCTGCGAAGCTAAACTATGTAAATTCATTTGATTCGGGCACACCGTCCCGTCACCCGAGCAGCTCTGGGTGTCGTTGGCAGCTGGCAGCTTACGGGGGGCAGCCTTACGGGCAGCTCGCCGCAGTCCTCTCGCTCGGGTCGGCTCGGGTCGCAGTTCATCACCATCCATTGCAGGTCAATCTGAAACGATCGACCATTCATCAATCATCATCAGCATTAACTGCAGGCCGATCTCAAACGATTGATCATCCATCAATTATCATCAGCATTAATTGCAGGCCGATCTCAAACGACCAGCCGCACGGTCAGGCGATCAGTCAGGCAGACGGACTCGGGTCACTGCTTTTCCAAAGTTCATTCTTTTATTGACCATTTATGCAAGCACTAGATATATTGTATATAAGCATATAAAGGATGCAATATAATTAAATTACAGTATCGAGACACCCTAATGAAAGTCGAGCGATGCTAGATACAAACTTATCTCCAATCTAGCATTTCCTAGATGTGGGATGCTGGCAGGCAGGAGGCTCCGCTTTTCACCCTCCTCCCTCCACCCTCCCCCTCCTCCCTCCTCCCTCCGCCCTTCACCCTCCTCCCTCCTCCCTCATCCCTCCTCCGTTTGACCCCGTCTCTCCCTAACTAACCGGCACAGTCTGCCCCGAGTTGGAGGCCTTGGCAATCACGATGTCGCCGTTGATGTCGATGGGGCCGACGGGCTCGAGCGGGAACGTGCTGACCAGGCTGCAGTCCACGTACAACATCACCTCGGTCCGGGAGACGCCAAAGTGCAACTTGTGCCAGTTGCTGTCGAATATCTGGGGCGCAGCGGATTGGAGTCGTCAGTTTTTGGGATTTTGTGAGAAAATAACACCAATAGGCAACATGCTAATGTGCTGAGGTCATTGCAATAACTTGCATTCCTTTGCTTACTCCCAACGTTCCACAGATTCGTGCAAAACTTATGCTTTAGTTCAAAGCCTCGATAAAGTTCGACATTTTTCGGCCGATAAAGATTGACTCTTCAGATAGATCACTTTTCCTTCTGAGAGCACTCCCTCGGTGACACTCACATTGAGTCCGGCAAAGTCGATCTGCTGCGTGCCTCCGGCGAGGTCCGGCACCATGAACTCCACCAGACGATCCACCGGGTTCAGGGTGACCGAGAACTGCGGTCGGCCGCGCAGGTCGTTGATTCGCAGCACGTCCCACGGCCGCCTCAACACCGTCCGCGCGCGGAATGTGGAGATGAAACTGAACTCGGCCGGCAGACCCACCGGGAACACGGACCTGCGCAGCGACTATCGGTCAGTCACAAGCGTGAGCAGAGGCTACCAGGTCAGAGTGTGCGAAGCGAGGCCTGGCCGACTAAAGGTCATAACTACGAGTATGTCTTGATGTGTGCTGGATAAAAAATCGTTAAAACACTCGTAACTTATTCCCGATTTTTTTTAAACAAAAATGTTCTTGTAGTCACTGTCAGGATATAAGAGCATTCAAGGTGGTTCTGTCAAAGTCTGTCGGCATATTGCCTGTGAGTTTGCAGCCGCCACCGTGGTTCTGATGCCGCCCCGCCGCCGTGTGGAGGTGAGGGTGGCTTGCGGCGGCGACGGTCTCACCTGGTCGTCATGCTGAGGTCGGCCGACGGGTCGAGTCGATACGCCACCTGCAGACTGCTGGAGCCGCGCACCTTGCTGACGCCGGGAAACTCCTTCTCCAACACGTCCAGCTGGAAGCGCCGGATGAAGTCGAACGCCTGCAAGTCGTCCTCACCGGGACGGTAGTCGGAGCACGGCAGCGAGATGGATACCTCCGGGTAGCCGCCTGCAAACAGACAGCGACAGTGGGAGGGAGTAGGAGTGGTCAATTAGATAGATCAAATGATACGGGTGAAATGCTGGTCTTTGTAGGGTGACATTCCATCAACCAAGCGATCTCGAACAGCAAAAAGGATAAGACAAAAGCTTGCATGTCACATTACTGTTTCGGAGAAAGTCGTAATGCAATAGATAAACTCAGTCAGGCATGCATCGCTATGAAACATTCATCGGTCAATATTCCGGGTGAGAGGCATGCAGGGCGGCTACCGCTGGGAGCCCCGTCGGCCGACGTCGTACCTCCTTGGCCCGGCTCGTAGTCTGTGGACGCCACGCCGGCGCCGAAGGGGTCGCCGGTGCCGATGGCTCCCGCTCCGATGGCGGAGGCTCCGGCTCCGGCTCCGGCTCCTCCCGACTCCTCGTAGACGGAGGACTCGTAGGAGCCTCCATAGGCGCCTCCTCCAGTCTCGTAGACGGAGGAGCTGCTGCTGGACGAGCTGCTGGACTCGTAGGAGCCGCCGGCAGCTCCTCCCACCACACTGCCTCCTCCCGCTCCGACTACTCCTCCGGCTGATCCTCCTGCTGCAGCGCCCCCGGTCTCGTAATAGGAGCTGGAGGAGGTCTCGTAGGAGCCTCCTCCGAGCACACCGGAGCCGCCGAACGCCGCTCCTCCCGAGGACACGGAGGACGACGAGGAGGATCCCGAGACGCTGCTCTCATAGTAAGAGCTGGAGGAGCTCGACGAGCTGGAGGAGCCGGACTCGCCGCCTGATACGGACACCCCGCCCACCCCTGCACGGGCGGACACACACACACCACAGTCAGTCAACGGCGCGGTACCGGCCGCATGCACGGATGGTGCAGAAACTGGGAAGTTTGGATATTTTTTCCCCGTAAGCCTACAAGATCACAAGGAATCGGTGGAACATCATGCACGAAATCTGCTCTTGTTTTGGTGGGAAGAGGTGTAAAAAGTCCTCTTGGTTTTTAACCACCTTCACTCGACTCAATAATGCCATCTTCATATGCTGGAATATGCTAGTACAATGTCATGCAGTTATTACTAAAATCAACCAATATGCAGTAGGTACGTATTTCTAGTTGATTTCTCATTTATGCGATAAGTTCTTTGAGATCCCTCCCATACAGCAAATGTTACCAAAGTTCAAAGTTGAAACTTATTGTTTTGACAAACGTGATCGTCGTTAAAGAAGAATCATGAATTAGGAATTCCGTAGTCTGCACTGACGAGAGTTGTGCTACCTGCCATAGCACACTACTAGCGATACTATTTGTGGCCAAAGGTGCCGTACATTTGTTATCAAATTTTACCAGATGTCCCAACAAAAAAAAAAGATCACCAGTAACCCTGAATCATGCTATGCGAAATGCAATGCGGCACGATTCAACGCATGCAAGTTGCGTTGCATGATGCAACATATGAACTTGCTGATGAACGTATGAACGTGAACTGGTTGGAAAGTGCAACTATGGTCGTTCTGGGATTTTTCGGTGTTTTTCGTATCGTTTAGTGTTCATTTTTGCTTCGCTGTTTATTGATAAAGAAAGCATATATTACGCAGGACCATCGTGGTGCTGTGCAGGCTATGCCACCACAAATACACATTCCGTTTTTTCATATGTGAAATGGCCCTCTCCTAGTCCATCGAGAATAAGCCCCGCTTGAGTCATCTATACATTTGTGAACGGGATGGTGTCGTGTTTATGTATGCTTTAAAATATGTCTTACCATCCTCATCCTCGTAAAAGTTGCCATCCTCATCCTCGTAGTAGTACCAGGCATAGTCGACTTTCTCGTCGTCCGGCTGGGAGAAAAGCTCTGAAACATGTCATCGGTGCTTCTTTATTTATACTAGTGTGATCCATTGCCGAGTCCAAGCACATTTACACCTCCCACTGAAGAAGATTAAAGTCATCTTTTTCATGAAAGTGAAGCACAACAACCATAAAAGGTTAACTTTGAATGCCAATGCGACGCATAAATAACTTCTTCACTGGAAAACGATAAGACTGCTTTACTGCAGGGTCCAACTTTACCCTCTTAGATCAGCAAATGGCGTTCCAAAATAACATTATAATATAAGCAGAATTTACTTACTTGAATACCCGAATTTGCAAACTCAATTGGCTGAATTTGCTTACTTGAATGATATTGAGAACAGGGGACAATATCAATTATCCTTGCCCTCTTAGGTTGCCGCATCTCCAGACATTCACTCACGTGCTTTAGCCTTGGCCCTGGCTCTGGCTCTGGGCCTGGGCCGGGGTCGAGGCCGGGGTCGGGGACTGGGGTCAGCCTCTGGCGCCGCCGCTGGGTCGGCCGCTGGGTCAGGCGCGGCCAGGGGCGCTGCGGCAGCCTCCGGCTCCGGCGCCGCCTCAGGCATGGCGCCGGCCAGGTCAGTCAGCACCAGGACACAGGTCAGAGCCACCAGCAGCGACCACCTGGTGGTCACAGAAGGGGACAGTGGCTGGTCAGGGACGCACTCATCTTCATTAATCGTTACGTTTTGTTTTTAAGAAGTTTCTAGCATCAATAAAAATTCAATGGTCCGCGCTCGCCACAGCTACTTCTGTGGAACGATTGCAATTTGAAATTTTCGGTGGTTGAACAGAGTGATGAAACGAACTTATTCCTTTGATTTTTAATATCATTTGCCTAAGGTCAGGGTATTTTTGTTACCACTTCGTTATACATGCCTACATATTCGTTGTATATTAGTCAAGCAATGGGAGAAACTTGAACTTGTGGACGAAAACCACGCTTAGGACTCAAACACCGTACCTATTAAGATATGATTATTAGTTACTGATCCAGAAAACTGCAACCGTGACCACACATTGAATCCGGAGTTTATGTGTTTATGTGTTACTGCCGGTGTCATTTGTGCGGTTTTCTGGTGGGATATGGGTCAGTCCGGCGGCGGCGCACTGTGTCCGGTCCGTCCTCCGTCCACTGTGGACCGGAGCGATGTTTGTTTACACTGAACGGCCGTCTGGATGATATACGCACGTAAATACCGTCTGGATGATTTAGAGTGAGCTGTCCGCCGACGGCTCTCCGGCTGCCTGCGAAATCATTACAACAGCCGGGCGCGGGTAGTGGAGGACCGGGAAGGACCACAGCCTCGTCGGTCAGCCGAGAACTCCCTCCTCCTCCAAACACACAAACACCGGCTCCCTGCCATAACACTCATTACAACCAACGACCACGTTAGAGGGGGATCGAGAAGGAGTGCAACGAGATGGAGAACCACGGTGGTATGCCAGCTAAAGTCTCAGCCGGCGACTTGTTCAGAGGCGACCGAACATGAAAACGTCTGATACCGAGGACGGTTTGGGCATGGGACGACTGCAAACATACGCCCTCAGAGCGCATATCGCACCAATCTACCGACCGTCGTACCGAGCTGCTTCGGCGACACTCAGTAACGGCAGACCGTTAGTAGCTGCGTGATGATAAAATGTTAATGTAAACGGTACATCGAACTTCTTTAGCGTTAGCATATACACAGCAGATAGACATTTCAAAGTTAGCGCACATTGGAGACATCGTGATATGAACTGCTGAAGGGAGACGGAGGACGGTCGCAGTATCGTTCAAGTGGTTTTCGGTCGTCACGATCGTTTCCGCTGATGTCTGTTTATCAGCTGAACTCTTGTTTGCACTTTTCCCGAGCTAAGTGGGACTTAAACAAAGGTCTTATGCTAGTGAAAATTTGGGCAAGACGGATCACTCGGGTAAACCGATTCACCGAATTTCAAACGGCATAATAGTGCTTCTAGACGATGCTATTTAGGGTGCTCCCACATTTTGTCTCCGTGCATGAAAAAAATGTTCAAACATGTAAAACACTGGTGATATCTTGTAGATCATACAACTTGTATGATTCGGATGTTTGGTAGGATTACTTGTGGTCAGGTCGGTGACGTGACCTCATTATAACAAGTCAACTGGGAAAAAAAATGAAAACTTATGATTGAGCTGGAGACGATTCTACGAGCATGTCAATCATTTGAAAGCGTGATTTCATACACTCCTTGCAAGGCTCGCTCCTTAACATTTGTATTGCGAACCTTGCGTGACCTTATACCTTATACGTGATCTTATTCGTGACGTCACTTAGGTCACTTAAAGACCGGAGTTTTTTCGTCGTTGGCTTTCGGTTGATGCTGTTCACAGTGACAGGGCGCGGATGAACATTGAACTGTCCCGTGCAGGCCGTGGCAAGCTCCGTTGTTGCTGGTCGACCTTTCCGCGGTAATTTTGCTGGTTATTCTAAGAGAGCTTAACCTCGCATGAGAGTAAATACTGGTGCTGGAGCAGCTTTTCAGTCTTACTTACCCTATCTGGGGTGCTTCCATTATCCACATAATTTTCTTAACAGGATTGAAAAGTTATACAATTTTCTTAGAATTGATGGGCATCAGATGTGCCCAAATTGATATCATATGGCCCACATCCGACATTTCACTGACATCATATACCTATTCCGGATACGATGCGAGTGGGACGGTAGCGAAATAAACGAGTTGTTAGCCTATCCGTGCAGACTTTTGCAGAGTTGTGTTCATGCAGCACCCGGTAGCAGGGGCGGAACAGCTGTGACAACACTGATATGATGTGTCTGCTGATTCAGACAACAAACGGCGCGCTTCGAAACCACCTCTTCATCATCCTGCTCGACTGTGTTGTGTCATATGTCGGCCTGTTTTCGCCATAGATGGTTACAAACAGTAACAACGGATGCCCCTTTGAGCCGTTCGCTTAGTAGAGCCAGTAGAACCACGGAATATATATCCCACGACATATATGTCGTAGAATATGTGTCGTACACTATATATTCCGTACTAAAGCTGTGCAAAATTGACTGGAACTGCTATCGGTAGCGCGAAAGCCAAGCTCTGGACGACTGAGTCATCAACGGCAGTGGCTCCCACAGCTGCGGGTGGCGCTCTACTCTCGCTGCAGAGGACGGTATGCCCGAATGGGATGACAGACGGCAAGCAGCTCCCACTGCTCGGCTATGAATGTGGCCCTCGCCTCAGGGAACAGTATGCCCAGACGTGGCTGGACTGATGTCAGTGGCTCCCACCGCTCTGAGTGTGATGTGGCGCTCTACTCTCCCTGCAGAGAGCGGTGTGCCCGGACGGCACAGACGGCGGTAGTAGCTCCCAGCGCTGTGAATGTGCCGCTCGTGCTGCAGAGTGGCGCGGTATGCTCGGACCGCGGCGGACGGTGGCGATCTGACGAGTTGCAGACGTCCTCAGACAGTCATGGCGCAGACTGAGCTCTGTTTATCCCGCAGAGGGGATGGGGAGACGGAAACCGATGCAGCTGTGGCAGAGCGAGCCCACGACGAGAACGCCAGCCAACGTGACGAGCTCGGGAGACAGAGCGGCTGTGGGACTGCCAAATGATGAAGCGAGAACCTGTGCGATACATCCAAGAAAAAACATCTAAGGGCCAGGATCTGATGATGCTAGATGACAGCTGCTAGCCTAGAGGCCAAACCGGCCAAACCGACAGCTAGTCGCTGCCAGGCCAGCGACCGATAGAGCTTGATCATACATACGAGTAGATTCAGATGACGAATAAAGAGCCGGTATAAGTTGTCGGGTCATGTCAGCTGACGCCTGAGATTGAAGCGCGGGTCTGGGACCTGAGTCTGAGGTAAATCTGAGTCTGAGCCGAATCTGAGCCAAGTTTGAGCAGAGTCTGAGTCGAGCGTGAGTTGAGTACGAGTCGATTGTGAGCCGAGACTGAGCCAGCTGCTGAGGCTGATCTGAGTCTGAATTGGTTCCAAAAAGATTCTGAGCCGATCCTAATTTGTCTAAGACCAATTAGGATCGGCTGAGTCGAGTTTAGTCGACCTTAGTCGATCTTAATCGAGTTTAAGCTAACTCTAAACAGGGTCTGAACAGACTGAAATGAATAAATCGTGTGCAGCAGGAGTGCAGAGCCGGAGCCGGAGCTGGAGCCGGAGCCGCCGGGGCCGGCATATTTTGTCCGGAGCCGGAGCCGGAGCCGTGAAACAATATAGCCCGGAGCCGGAGCCGGAGCCGTCAAAAAAGGCGGCGGCTCCGGCTCCTTTTTTGAAGAGGAATTTTTTTGACCTATTTAGTTCGGTTTGACAGTACAAGGCAGTAAAACATGTGGTATTCAAAATTGCCTTGTTATGCAAATACAGACGCAACATGAACCAATCCCTTCGTCTTTTTTCTTCCACCCGTATTTAATTGTATAGAGGATGCACTGACAGTGGCGCGGCAACTTCTTCCAGACTGGGGGGGGCGGGGGGACTGAACCATAATAGAGATCAACCTAGGGTACCCCCAAATCTAGTTTTCTCACCGGTTTTAGGCCATTTATTTTTCAAACCTTTGCCTCTTCAACGAAAAAAACGAAAATATTTGCAAAAAGTGAGGTATTCCATATCAGTTGAGTGGCAACCTGGAGTCAAGGTTTTAATCTGCCAAATGAGTTGCCGAGCCAGTGAAAAAGGTGGATTTTTCACACATGCTTTCTTCCTTTGTGACCCACAACCCCTAATTTGGGGAGGACAAACAAACTGCCCCAATGGTTCCTGGCCTCATGAAAAGTTGTGGGGCACGGCCCCCACGGCCCCGGAGTTGTGGGGGCAAGCTTCCCCCACAGCCCCCTCCCCCGGTTCCCGCGCCTATGTATGAATCTTTGAATTTATGTTGATAGATTTCCGATTTCGATTCCTCCAGCTGGGGGGGGGGGGGGCTCAAATACATTACGAGCCCCTCCCCCAGCCGAAATGTGTGTGTGTGTGGGGGGGGGGGCTCAGCCCCGCTAGCCCCCCGGTTCCCGCGCCACTGTGTACTGAGTACTGGAGCCGGAGCCGCCGGAGCCGGACCATTTTACTCGAAGCCGGAGCCGGAGCTGGAGCCGCCATGACATTTCACCCAGAGCCGGAGCTGGAGCTGGAGCCTATTTTTTATCCGGAGCCGGAGCCGGAGCCGTCTGAAATTTCCACGGCTCCGCATCCCTGGTGTGCAGGTTTTTGTGTCGAAGGATTTTGAGGTCGGTGTACAGTAGAGCACTTCATGGGCCGGATAAATCCGTTATCCACGGATAAATCCGCGGACCGGATAGGATTGGATTCTAAATTTGTTAAAAAAGAACGGATATGGGCGGGCCGGATTTGGGAATTGAAGGTTGAACCCGGATCAAAACGGATCAAAATTTTAACATTCAACATTGAAGTTAAAAATTGATACCTAGTTTACCAATGTGGTGATTTTCATGTGGTTTTAGGTTTATAAGCATGGTTTTTGGAACCATGATGGTCTGTGAGATGTACATATGGCTGTCTGGTCCCTTAGATTGAATTTGTTAGTCCAGTTTTGGGTGAAACCAGTTATTGGTGAAACGGATTATTACGGATATTTTTTGGAAGTTTGGCTGCAATACGGGCCATGGGTGGGCCGGATTCTGATATTCAAAGAAAGGCGGATAATGGGCGGATCTGGATATGACTTGCCGGATATGGGCCGGGCCGGATCCTAAAAAGCCTATCCGTGAAGTGCTCTAGTGTACAGAAGGTCTTTATTATAGTTGTCAGTAAAACATGGACAGCTATAAGAAGGCCCCGGGCGCTGTTGAAGCAGCCATGCCTTCAGCTCAAACGAATGATATCACTCGCACCGTAAGCCACACTCTCTCGTGTGTATATTTAAACAGTGTACAACCATGGCCAGTGCTTCTACCGTTATTCTCCTCATTACTGGCAAACGAGGCACACTGAAGCGAGTTCCGTCACAACATGGCTCAAAATAAACAAACACCCTCCGAACCTGATCGAAGGATAACTCTGGCTGCCAGAGACACGTCTGCAAAGGCATGCATGCTGGACTTGTTAGCAGTTGAGTTCCGTTTCACCCATGCAGGATGGCAATGCAGCTGCATACATTTACTTACGTTATCAAAAATGGATGACCCAATTTCTGTGATGCTTCATGGAAGGCATGAGCTGGAAATGTGTTGGATTAACCCGCGCGGGGCTGGGGGGGGGGGGGGTAAATTTTACCCCCCCTCGCGAATTTTTGCGATATCTCAAAAACGGCGGCGCGCAGCGCCGCCAAACTTTCAGTACCTTTTCTTACATCAATTTGACACCTTCCCTGAAAATTTGAGCGAAATCCGTCGGAAAATTTTTGAGAAATTGACGTTTTAGTGACGTCATGTTCGCCATTTTCGCCTCAAAAACGGCAAAAGTTCAAACGCCGCTAACATCTTCATTTTTTAAGGAATCAAGACGTAACAAAAAAGGTTATACGTAATTTTACTTTGTCTATCAAATGGCTATCTCGGTTTTTTGAAAATTTTGGATTTTGGCCTAAATTTTTTCAAAAAACTGATTTTTTTGGGAAAATCATTATAAAATCCAAAATTTTGAGTCTATCGAAAAAACCGGAATATATGTCAGAGAAGTGGTCTATGTGCACCTACATACCAAATTTTAGAAGAATCGGTTCAAAAATGTGGGAGTTATTCAAAATTGTATGACGTCACGACACACAAAATTTTTGAAAAATGACTTTTTTGGAAGTTCTAGACCTCGTACGGAAACAAAAATAGCAACATTCGATTCGCCGTGAAAAACTGCATCAGATAGACACCTTTTTAGGCCTTAACAACCAACTTCAAAATTTGACCTCACTTGACCTGACCTTGACCTGACCTCGACCTGAAATTCATCCAGAGGTGGTCCATATCACTTATTGAGTGTGCCTATTGAATTCTATGAGTAAAATGACCCATAAAACATGTGTCGCACATGCCCTTTTCTATATTTTGTTTTTTGGTGACCTGACCTGACCTGACCTGACCTTGACCTTGACCTCTGAATGATATTGTATGCAACTAATATTGTCTTGGTAGCCTAAGAACACGTTTTGGGCGATCAGTCTCAGTCCATGACTCCATTCTTCGGCAACTACGGTGCAAGGCCGATACTGTAGAAACTTGCAATTTGTACCCTTGACCTGACCTTGACCTTGACCTCAAACTTTAAATTAAGTACATGTTTTTAGTAGTTCGTGATGAGAGCTTTCGATTGGCGTTTGACTTTTCCAAATCGGACCATTAGTTCGGGAGATAACAGGGGGGGGTAAAATTTACCCCCCCCCCCAGCCCCGCGCGTTCGGCTGGAGACCCCAGCCCCGCGCGGGTTAAGAGACTGAATGTTTACCCTCTAATCTACGCAGAGTTTAGAAGACATGATGACTAACGAAACTCTTTTGTGTACCTAATGTTTTAAACAAAACTCAAAAATAAACTCTATACATGTTGATAAATGATACATGTATGTGTTGATGCAGTAGCTAATATAATCACGGGAATATACAGAAGCTAATAAGTTGTTCGCTTCTCTACCATATAAGTAGCCTCTGGTAGGTTACTGTTAGGTCTACAGCGCCTAAAAGTGGTGTGCAGAGATCTTCACTCTTATGGCGGAGCACAACTTCCGTGCGTGCCATTCGCGTGCCATTGGAATGCATAACATATCTTCGCTTCCAACACGTGCAACTGACGAGCTGCGAGTTAGGAGCGAAAAAGATGCCATGTACTCCAATGAGAGGAGTGGGAAGGGATTTGCACGCTGAGAGCTGTGTTCCAGTCCTTAGATCGGATGATATGTGATCATCAAGAGATCACCGCTTTCCTTGCACCATTGTGAAAGTACATCGGATTTCTAGACGCTAAGTAGTCACCGTATAATCAATTTTGTAAGTCAGTGATCTAAGCAATTACCTTCTTTTCAGTAACCCATTAAATACCTGCTTTTCACCGTTTTTCAACTATTGGTGAACAAGGAAAGCGGCTTTTTTGCATAACATTTGAAATAGAATGAAAGCGAATTGCAGCCCCTTCTAAGTCTGTGTTGTTCAAACGCCGGTATTCTGAGGCGTGTGAAGATTCCTATTGGTTTTCTGTCATGCTCCCCGAGTCCTTACCTTCCGGGCCAGAAGGCTAGTCGATCTGACGGCTGGCGACCCATGGTCGTCGACGGCGGTCCCGGGACAGGTCGTCGCCAGGGGTCGAGGTCAGGTCAGGTCAGGACGGCGGCGGCTGGTCGGCGGGAGCGGACCGGGCCGGCCACCGGTCGGTGGCTCTACTGGCTGGAGGACGTCGGACGACGGACGGCAGGGGACCACTGTTTACACTGGAGGGGCCGAGTCCGGCCGCGGTGCGTGTGCCACCACCAGAGGGACTGACTGAAGGACCGGCCGGCCAGCACGGAATCTGGGAGATGAATTGGAGCTGTGGTCTGTGGACTGTGATCAGATATCAATTCAGGCATTTCATTGGCTTTGACATTTCAGGTTTTGACGAATAAAAGCCTGAAGTTAACAGGAATCAAATCTCGGGAACGCATTTTAGCGTGCAATCATTCACGCAATATCCTTGTACTTTATAGCGATGATCTAATCGCTTAGAACGTCACCGCATGCATTTTTGGCTGCTTCGGGCTTTGTTTTACATATTGCTTATGGTCGACAATATTTGTTACTCATTATCCTAGGTATAGCTGAGTGTGTCGTATCAGCATGGGCGGCGGAACGGGGAGGGCACCGGGGAAGTGTGCCCCCCTTTGATTTTGGCATTTTAACAGGCGCAGTGGAAGGGGGGGCGGATTTCGCCCACCCCTCCTGTTTTTCGCCAGTAACTCGCGCCGCAAACATGATATTAATGTGAAATTTTGGCTACCTGTCCAGAATTGAACTGCGGATCTTCTCGTGCAAGAAATAAAAAAATCGGGTCACAACTTATCTAGTAATAGCGGTGTAAAGTCAAACATCCTGCCGCCGCGGCGGCGCGGCGGCCGGCGCTAGCCGTTACGCGCCGCCTGAATTGTAGACTGTGCCGGGGCGGGACGGTTCCGTCTTTACATCGCGCTCCTTACCGCTGATTATATTCGATTCGCGTCAAATTTTGTGAGAAGACTAAGAAATGTACAGGCAATCTTATGGTCAAATAATTTTGAAAATCGGCCGGTAACAACTTGAGTTATGAGTGTGTAAACACAAAATTGTGATTGCCGCGTTTCCCGCGTCCGCCGATCCCGCTTCAGCCGGCGACATCTTACGCTTAGCAGGCTTCTAACTGCCATATTTATTGTTGGATTAACAAGAAATTCACTATACATACTCACAAATGTACGTTCTTTCGTATAGTGAAAGAAAAAAGAAAATCGGCCGGTAACTTTTTGACTTATCGGCGTGTAAACGCCAAAAAGTCGCTAATATGGCAGATTTGACCACTTTTGACCTCATTTGACCTTGAAGATATTGACCTAGGGTCATGAAATTCACACACAACAGAGTTCCTCTGGGCCGCCACCTACCCTCCAAATTTCGTCTTTCTAGCTCCAGTGGAAGCTGAGATCTTAGGGGGGTCGACATCCGCCCCCCCCTTCCACTGGGCATAGTACTCGCAACCCTTCCACTGCGCGTGTTAACATTAGCCCTATGGGCGTTGCATGGAAAGAATGTGACCAAAAGTCGGCAGTGCCCCCCTTATTGAAGGTGTTCCGCCGCTACTGCCTATCAGCAGCATCCTTGTGGAACGAAAGTTAAATAAAATGAAGCGGATGCTGTAAATTGTAATGCTTATATCGCATTTCTAAAACGTCAGGGAAAGCTCCTGATTTTGTCACACTTTCCCTTCCGATTCGCTCCCTTCATCATTTTTTCTTCGCTAGGGAACCGAAAAATCACAGTTCACAGCACCGTGTAGCGCAATGCAGCCGAAGCGATGCGGCGCAGTATACATTCAGGCGCTGACTACTACTGCCATCTAGCGGCGAGGATATTATTGGGCGGCGCAGTATACTTTCAGGCGCTGACTACTATTGCCATCTGGCGGCGATAATATCGTTAGGCGGCGCAGTATACTTCCAGGCGCCGATTACTAATGCCATCTAGCGGAAATATTATCGTTTGGCGGCGCAGTATACTTTCAGGCGCAGACTACTACTGCCATCTAGCGGCAAATATATCGGTTGGCGGTGCAGTATGCATATCAATATACGTGTCAACTTCTAACGCCATCTAGTGGTAGCAATATCGTTTGGCGGCACAGTATGCATTCAGGTGCTGCCTACTACTGTCATCTAGCGATAAAGATATTGTATGGTGGCGCAGTACATATTCCGGCGCTGCTCACATATACCTAGTGGCAAGATTTATTACTTTACATTGCATAGCGACATGAATACGATTTGAAGACGCAACGTGTATTCAGGTCGTGTCATGTCGTCGTGTCATCTATCGTCACCTTGTGTGCATTTATTCAGATACTACTTAGTGGCAAATTTTCAATACGAATACATTTTCTATTCAGCAAGCCGAACGTTTTCTCTAACGCCTCCCAAAAATTAAACATCATTTGACACCATTTTAAGTAAATGTATTGATCACAATTCCAATCGTTTAATTGTTTTTTGAATGACCTCCTTACAAAATTATACTTTTCATTCATGTATTTTTGTTTTAGATGAATTTTCGGCCACGGGCCATGATCACATCAATGCCAAATATAAGAATATTGGAAGACGTCTTCGTCTTCCAATATTCTTATATTTGGCATTGATGTGATCATGGCCCGTGGCCGAAAATTCATCTAAAACAAAAATACATGAATGAAAAGTATAATTTTGTAAGGAGGTCATTCAAAAAACAATTAAACGATTAAAATAAATGCCTTACATTCAGCAAGCACTTAACGAATTAAAAGATCACAATTCCATATTATCTGCTTCATAAGCTCACTGTTAGGAGGCATTTACCAACCCCAGCACATCGGTCACATATTCCGGCATCACCAGAGCAGATGACTGGCGACCGAAAAAAAAAGCTGCGCCGGTGTTCCCCAACATGGAGCATAGTCTGTCTCCGCGACCTCGGCATACGCAAATCGCCCCCCCCCCCCAAAAAAAAACGGTCCATAGATCGTAACACCCGGGTAAAAGTCGTACAGGTTGCGCACAGAAAGCGCGGCCACGGACACTCACCACAAATACCGTGGAATATCAGCTTCGAGTCACTGAATCAGCATGAGTAGCAACAGAAGCACTCGCTCCAGGCCGGGAACGTGACGTCAATCAGTTGCAGCTATCATTTCCCGGACAGCTTCATTTCTGCCATCAGCTAGCGCTACTTTGAGCTGGGACGAGCGCTAATTGACCCCGTCAATAACCCCTGACTGCTTTGCACTGGTAAAGGCTGCCAATATATGATCTACGATCCCCGGCATTCCTTCGTTCCCAATGGACTGTTACTGCTCGACGCACTGGGTCGAGAGTGAGACACAGGTCACCTCCTGACCACTGACGGTATAACGTACCCCATCCGAGACCCACAGGGTCGACACATGTGCAGCGGTGCCCAGACTTGACATAATATACTCTGCCCCCCTCTGCACATAGCAAAATAGACTGCCACCTCTAATGGCCCAGTAATCTTATCACACCACACCCGCGACAAACTCTGATCGCAGCTGCGCGCGTAAACCCAGTGCTGGAGACGCCGATGAGGCGACACAAGCACCTTTATAATCTCTTTGCACCCCAAAGGGCATGGTCTATCTACCCCCAATCCACGCCGCAACCCAAACAAGCGGACTAGGCTACCCTACAGATCCCGAGCGAAGTCCTTCGGTGTCTCACTTCTGTGCGCCATCAGCGGGAGCCGACCGGTCAGCCGCTCTCAGTGTGGAGACTGTGACGGTGGCAGGGTCAACCTCAGTAATCTGAACGTTACCGGGGAGCTGGTCCTTCATGGCAGCAACGCGGTCAGCCGGGGAGGTAGCCGTCTTGGAGCTGCAGCAGCTCGGTTTGGCCTCGGTTTGAGCAGGAGGAGGCTGGGACTGAGCTGCAGCCGCGCCGCCACAGCAGCCACCCGGCTTTTTCTCCGCCGCTGCCGCTGGTGCCGCCTTAGTCACTGAGTTGGAGGCTGGTGAAGCGCAGACACCAGCCGACGCCGACGTCCCCGCCTGGCCTATCCCCGCCGCCGGGACCAACCCTGGTCCTGCTGGGATTGGTCCTGGTCCTGCCGTCGGGACCGGTCCTGGTCCTGCCGGGACCGGCCCTGGTCCCGCCGCAGCTGCCGGAGCTCCCGGCACGCCGCCCGCCGGCACCGCGCCCCTGATTTTGACGTAGGCTGCCGGCACCAGTCCTGCAGCGGTGCCGTCCGAGGCCAGCACCCAGCCACGCACTCGGGGCTGCAGACGGCGCGGCGCCAGGCGCACAGACTGTCCGGCGCGCACCGTCAGCTCGCCAGGGCCACTAGCCGTGAAGTCGAAACTGCACACCGCAGAGAAATGCTCGCCGGCGCCCGACTTCCAGCTCTCTGTGGGTGGCGAGCGGGGAGGTGTCATTGGCACAGCTAAACAGGCTTTGTCGAAACCGGACGTCACTTATGTGCCTGCATGAGCCTCGGGAAAAACGACAGCATTTGCGACTCGTACAAACTACGAGGTACCCCACCAGCTTAAAAAAAAATGATATGATTTTCTCCAACATATATATCAAGCCATTAGCTACCATTTTTAGATATAACCATCCGGAGATATGTTGTCTAACCCACAAAACATTCCTCACACACCGCACAACTTTCTCCCCTTCTTTCTCTACCTCTCCATCCCTGCTCACCATTATCCGGCCGTCCGCCGCTGGCCCGCAGCAGTCTGAAGATGAGGTAGGGCGCTCCCAGCACGGTCGCCAGGTACACCAGTACTGGCCAGCGGGAGGCGCCCCTGCCAGAGCCGCCGGCGGCACCCGCTGCCATCTGTACTGCCCCTGCCGATTCCCTCCAGGCCGCATTGGCGCCCTCCAGCTCCGGGTAGCCTGACGACGGGCGGGGTGGGTTAGCTAGATGTGAGGGTTGTTGGTCCTGACGGGGAGGGAGGATCCCCATGAAAGAGGATATAGACTGGCGAACTGTTGAAGACCTTATTGGTGCTATTGAAGGGCAATTTATTGAAGTGAGAGTAATTATTGTCACGACGTTCAATATACCAGCTACCTGTCGTAAAAATTATCCATCAGACATCCCTGGAATCTGGGCAACTCGTCCCGGCATCAAGCCACCCTCCCCGACCCGCACCTTTCCATCTGCCAGACTTACCGAGCCAGCGTCTGAGGAAGTTAACGATCCATCTCAGAGTGCGTGCTATCGAGAGAGCCGACAGCAGCTCGGCCAGGTGCAGCCGCATCCGTCCCATCTGTTCGGCCACACCCACCACCGCCCGGAACGAGCTGGAGTGGGAAGGGGGTGGAGGTCAGGTCAGGTCACTGTACATACTAGCCCGGCCACTCCACTACCGCCCGGAACGAGCTGCAGTGGGGGGTGGGGGTCAGGTCGGAGTTCGGACCAGGTAGGGTCACAGTACTAGCCCGGCCACACCCATTACCAAACACCGCCCTTTCGTCATAATGTAGAAGCGACGATCCTACCATAAGGTATAAGGTAAACAATTTACACCACAATATTTTCGGTGCCAGCTCCACCAGTCAGTCTACAGAGTCTACGAGTCTCATATAGTTCCGAGGACGTGACATTGAGAACGATCGTCATAAAGGGAGATAGCAGGATGATGGTAGTACCAAACAGCCTGGGCCATCCGACACTATATACGCACGAAATGAAGTTGGGAGTCACGCCGATAAGATAATGCGGAGCGTAAATCCCACACTGAGGCTAGTTGAACGAGCGATCGATCGAGTCGTCCGATAATAGGTTTGTTCATCTCTCAGACTGTTTAGGGGAAAACGAGCATAAACTAACTTTCTGTAGCGTCGTAAATTGAGATGAAAAATATGCAAATTATGGTACAAAGTTATTTCCTCCATCGGGTGGCACAATCGTCTGGCCATCCCACCTGTGCACCAGCATGTAGGTCGACTCCATCATCTGGCTGATGGACGTGAACACGCTGACAAACGACTCGATCGACTCGAACGTGCTGCGTGAACTCTCCTCGGCCGCTTCAATGAACCTGCGGCAGGGGATGGCAGGGTCGGGTCAGCCATCAGTTATAATCGCAAGTCTACTCGGAAGACACAAAGTCGGGCGGAGGGTCGAGTCAGCCACCGTGTCTAATGGCAAGGCCGGGTCTGACTGCAGTCAGGTGCAACTAAAGGTCGTATCAGAGGGCTGCGGAAGCCATATAAGAGCCTATCATAAATGTCAAAGTGACTCATACCCACCCCAGCTGCTGACTCAAGAGACTTTCTGGCTCTCTTCTCTCCAGGCTAGAGGCCTATTGGAAACTTCCCCTGGCTGTCTGTCTAGTCCTCTTACCAGCTCTCGGGGCCCGGGCCCAGCGCTCCCGGTCGGCCGTAGAAGCCGCCCCCGGCAGAGCCGTAGCCGCCATAGCCCGCTCCGTAGCCGCTGTAGCCTCCCCCGAAGGCGCCGTAGCCGGTGCCGTAGCCGGTGCCGTATCCACCGTAGCCGGTACTGTAGCCGCCGTACCTTGAAATTGACAAAGGGACGAGGGGATAAAATTATTATCTCCAGAAGGATCGATGGTGAGCTGCGCGGCCACTCAATAACACATCTATGGTTATGATGTGGTATAAGATATTTCTTTATGGTGCGAATGTGCATCATTTCATTTCCCGCATTTAACACTGTATGAGAAAAAAGCAAACTCCAGCCTCTCACAACAATGAGTGTACCAGAACAAAAGCTGTAAACACAAACCAGAATTCAGATGTTTGTGAAGCTGAACATCCACTCAAACTTATTGCCAAACTTGGAACCTTAAAAATGCCCATCCAATCCTACTTTGTCATATTTCCCTTTCATCCACCTCCCCTCTCGTCTCTTTCCCTGCCCTCACCCTGTCGAGTAGGGTGACATGGCGGATGGCATGCCGGCCGCTCCGTGGGCCGGCCGGGGCGGGATGGGAGGCGCCATGCCGCCCACCGCGCCGGGTTCTGCCACACCGCCCGCCAGCGTCGACCTGTGGACGGGACGGGGGAGGCACTGATGACTTCTGGGACACCCAGGAGGACCACCAATGACTTCTGGGGCTAGAGCACTCAGGTCTGACCTTGCGATAGTTAGGCCATAGTAAGCAGGTGAACCATAGTAAGCAGGTGTACTAAATACAATTAAAACCTGTGTAGCAAATAAACTGCTGATTGCTGTATGTGCAGATGACTTTCTATGTCAACAGAGGAGAAAAATTTAAAATATCTGACTCCAGCTAATGTTATGAGCACTTCTGAAAATATCACCTGAAAATATCACCACTTTTCCACCAACCAATTTTTTACCCAAGTACTTGATCATGCCTGGCTCCAGGCCCCCACACTCACTGGAACTGGGGCTGCACTGTGGCAGCAACGGCACGCATCTCATCAGGCGGCACCATCCTACTGTTGACGCCTGGCCCTGCTGGGGTGCGGCAACATGGTGGCACACTCTCCCATGGCTTGGGTGGTGCAGCCATGGTTGGCACCACTGTCTGTGGAAAAATCAGATGATAAGTAATTGTTCATAACTTAAGCCTACCTTTTCTTTTTCTTTTGTTAAGCAGAACACCTGTTTATCTCTGGAGTTGCTCAGCCTGATAAGTGTTTTAGCTGTATGTTAAGTGTTGTGTGCCTTGTGTTGGTGTAATCTATAACATTTTCCCTTTTTTAGTTTTCTTCTCTTCCTATGGAAGAAAGGTAATCAAATGATAATTAATCCATCAACATTGCTAGATAAGCAAAAAAAAAACAACAACCAAATTCTGCCCTGGATTAGCCAGTACCTATCAATCACATTCCACAATGTCTGAGGTAGGTATATCAGTAGGCAGTAGGCACTCCTCAGGTTTCAAACCAAAAAGTTTAGGAGCTTAACTATACCTACTGGGCTACTGTACTGATAATGCAAAAAAGTGATAAGATGTGAAAAGATAATGAGAACTGAACTCAAAAAAAAATGTTCAGGTCTGAGCTTTCAAATTGTACTTGCAAAACTTTGTCAGCCTGTCCTAATCAGCTTTTACACTCCCGAAACCGATTCGAACAGTCTTTAAAATTTAATGGTTCTGACCTCAACAACTCCTTGTGGAGAAAAGTCCTCATTAACTTGTTACATTTGCAGACTCAACATAATGTCCTTATGTAGTGACTAGTGACTTGGCATCATCCTTAATTCTGATCAGTTTTACAATGCAAATAGGCTACTGGCATTTCAATAATAAATGTAGAGGTCACAAAAATGTAAATTTATGGATGCAAATAACTTAAAATGAAAAACCATAGGTTTCTGGGCTAAGACAAGCATATTAATTCAAATTTATATCAGCATTTCTGAATGTCTTCAATTATGGAATTTACGGAGTCCTGTGTGCTTATACTAAGGAAGGTGGAGGTGGAAGTGACATATAATTTCTATCAATGTAATAGAAATGACAACCAGTGTTCACCAGGCAAACGATAAAAATTAAAACAAAACACACACAACACACCAACGCTACAACGCACAAAATGGCAGTGCTGCCAGATGGGGAAGGCTGTAATCCTCCAGATCAGTTACAAAAATCCTCCAGATTCCTCCAAATCCTATTGGTAGATATAGAAAGGCGGTCTTGGACGCTGCGAGGGGCTATACCCCCCAAAAAAGTTTCCCCAAATTCTCAAAACTCATCGGATTTCGAATCCTTTCGCACTGCTGTGCAGTTTAAAGGATACTTTTATTCTAATAAAAGTTGTTTTCGTTTCATCCTCCAAAAAAAAAAAAAACGAAAATATTCGTCGATATCGGGTGCTGCAGGGCGGGCCGGGGGCATTTGCCCCAAATGTCCCCTTAGATCCGCCAGTAGTTTGGTACCCTCGTAGATATAGTTACAGACTGAGACATTCTGCAGTCTCGAGGTGATAAAGGACGTGATATAGCCTAACGGGTAGGGTGACGCTGGGCAGGAAAATGCCTTTTTAGTCTCGAATGTGTTATATTTTTCCATGATATTATAATAATCGGGCGACAAATCCTCCAGATTTTCCTCCAGAATCAAAAATCCTCCAAAAGCGAAATTTGTCCGCAAATAGAGTTCAAAATCCTCCAGATTTGCGGAAATCCTCCAAATCTGGCAGCACTGCAAAATGGTGCAAAAATACTGCACAAATTGCGACGCACTTGCGACGTTATCAGTGGAACTCACTATTCAACTGCCATTTTTGCAGACAACACTACACCACTGCATAGCACCCTCACAGCCGTTTTACATATAACGGGAACCACAGGACCGATCGACAAGAACGAAACTCCATTCGAATCATCAATCACTAAATGCTATTTTATCGATTTTATCAGCCGTTTTGATAATGGTGGCCTCAGCAGGTGACCTTGGTGACCTCGAAAGGTCAATTTGACGTTTTCGTCTATTGCAACCATTGTATAACTCAGGAACCACTGAGCCGATCGAAATGAAAACACCACCAGTCGATTTGCCGCTTGCGATTTAATCAGCCGTTTGGAATATGGTGACCTCAGGTGACCTCTGTGACCTTGGGACGTCACATAACCGTTTTCGCCTATGGCAGGCGGCAGCCATTCTATAGCTCAGGAAGCATTAAATGGATCGAGACGAAACACCACCAGTCGATTTGTCGTATGTGGTTTCATCAGCTGTTTCGAATATAGTGGTCTCTGGTGATCTCGGTGACCTTGAAAGGTCGCTGAGGATTTCGCCTATTGCAGCCTCAGGAACGAGGCTGATCGAGCCGATCGAGACGAAAATAATACCAGTCCAGTCGACTCGCCGTATGCGACTTCATCAGCCGTTTTAAATATGGTGATCTCAGGTGACCTCGATGACCTCCAAAGGTAAAATTTGAACTGGTGAAGCTGACCTTTCTGGGTTGCCGAGGTCACCTGAGGTCATTATACTCAAAACGGCTCATGAACTCGCATATACGGCAAATCGACTGGTGCGGGTTGCGTCTCGATCGGTTCAGTAGTTCCTGAGTTATTGCCTATTGAATGGCTGCAATAGGCGAAAACGTCAAGTTAACTTGTCGGGGTCACCGAGGTCTCCTGAGGTCACCATATTCCAAACCGGCTTAACCCTCGCCGGACATACGGTTTTCTACATATGCGCCGGCCGAGGGGGGGGGGGCGGGTACGACCCCCTAGCCGTTTCGCCCCTGGTGGAGCCAGCGCGTCGCGGAAAAAACGAGCGTGTGCGCCGTTATGAGACGCAGAGATTGGTACCCGATTTTAAGGTCCTAGGTCAACCGGTGACCTCTGAGGTCAGGTCAAGTGCCCTAAGGTACGGTTCAGTTTTTGGTGAATAACTTAGAAAAAACGGCCGCAGAGCCAGCCGCGATTTTGACAGCACCGTGTTCGCCTCGCTCAGGCGCGTCGAATGATATACTTTTTGTTTGGGTCAGGTCAACTTCGGGTGTTGACCTCAGGTCACGGTCAGGTCAGCGCTCCCAGGGTCACGAAGTTGGTCGAAAGAGGTCATGTCGCATATTATTCGATTCGGCAGGTCTTCCTGAGTCCATTGGTGGCTTTTTCGACTCGCTAGCTCAATTTGATCGGGAGTTATTGAAGAAAAACTAATATGATCTTGATGACGTCATCAATGACGTCAGGCAAGGTCAGCATTGCGAAAGTGATGCATCTAACCTTGCAAGGAGTGCATCAAATCACGATTGTGTGCTTGAGATAGTTGGAGATCGTTGCCGGCGCCAGAATAGCAGTTTTCATTTTTCCCCATTGACTTATAATGGTGAGGTCACGAAAATGACCTGACCTCATATGACCTTTAGGAAAAATCCGAGATCTACAAGTTGTGAGACCCGTAATGGATACTAGATCCTGCAAGTTTCATTTCCCTGTGTAAGCTCCTCTGGCAGTGAGGGCGTTGCGAAGTTGTGACATCTAAAGACCGTGCAGAGGTTCACTTATGACGTCATAGGTCAGTGACCTGACCTGACCCGAAAATGCAGTTAGTGTCAAAAGATCTGGCTTGAATCAAAGGTCAAGTATGCCAAGTTTCAGCTCTCTATCGCCAGCATGTTCGGAGCTATCATGAAAAACCCCATGGGGTGGCACCCGCCCCCCCCCCTCGGCCGGCGAGGGTTAAAAATCGTGTCCCCATGGTGCTTACTACTTAGTTCGTCCCGACCGGCCCAGTAGTTCCTGAGTTTTAAAAGGGCTGCAAGGGTGGATGTCGAGTAGTGTCGTCCCGTTTTTGCAGCCATCCTGTAACTCACGAAGCACAAGAACCACTAACGTGATCAAAATAAAAAGGGCACCATTCAAAACGGCAATTCAAGAGTTCCAAACAGCTGTTGTAATAACGGTGACGTCAAATGACCTCGGTGACCTCCAGAGGCCAACTCAAGGTTTTAACCTGTTGCATTGCCCCATAACTCAGCATCAACAGCTACCGAGTACCGGGCCGATCGCGACGAGAACGCCATCAGTCGACGATTTGTCTTTTGCGGTTACATCCAAGATTACTACTATGTATAGTTAGGTTAGGTTACATCAGCCACTACGAATGGCATGAATAGTGAGGTGATGTCGACCTTGGTTATCTTGAGACGTGAGCATACCTAACGTTTTGGCCTATGTAACTCAGCGGTAATCTGAGGCACCGCCACGTAGAAAATGTTTTGGATATAAAGAGGCATTTTAAGTCAGAAGGGCCCGACCGTTCTATACCCATTGTTCGTTAGAGGAGGTCTAATGTCTGTACTGCTGTCATTGGTTCCTCTGACGGGCTCTCGCTATTCCGGCAACCCAAGGCTAGTTTAGATTCCTGCCACTAGATGGCATTACTTGCCGACGCCTGAAGTTATGCTGTACCGCCTGACAAGTGACAGTCTAATTCGGCCATGCGTGTAGGTATGGCGTAGCGACAGTATGACTATGTAGATATAAAGGCATGCATGATCAACTGAAAAAGTATATGAACTGGATCAGATAGGCACTGTTCTCAAATGCCGACTTCAAAATTTGACCTTGATTGACCTGACTTTAACCTAAGAAGTACGGCTTTGATGTTTGGGCCATCCAGCTTTGGTCCAGATCACTAGCCATTCCCCGTCTTTCTATACCATGTGAGTTCAACCATGTCCGCTTGCAACTGAGACGGGGTTCGTAGAGGGGAGGGGTCAGTACCGCATTCGACTGAATAGTGTAAATACCGGCGGGTCGCGGATTTATTTCCTTACTAGGTACATAGTTAGCAGCATCATGCAATCGATGAGTCTTGGACTTCTTTTGGGTGGCATGACTATCTATCTTAGCACTATTGCCAATTATAATTGGCAATTGCTATAAGATAGATAGTTAGGTACAATTAGATATGTGAATATCAACTATCTGTAATGTTCTACAGTTATTTAAAGTTTTCCAGAAATTTTATATTCATAGGGAAGACGCCATATATTTCCGTCCGTGTTAGCTTTTAGTTAGCATTTGCTCATAATAAATCGTTAGTGTTACCCACATGAGAGCCTGCGCGCGGCGACATTACCTGAGGTGGCTCGTCGGTATCGCCTGAGGCAGTTCGTCGGTTGCCAGTCGTCGTCGGCTGGACGGCGGGAACCATCTGGCAGTGTTCGATGTGTCCGCCGCGGGGCAGGTCCGTTCGGCTTTGAACTCCTCGCAACGTCGCGGTGTGGTGGCATATTGCATGCGGAGTGACACCACACAGTGTTTAGGTGTGGACTGTGGAGGCGTTCTACACTGTGAGAGACGTTAGGCTGTCCTGAGACTTGAGCCGCTTCAGGGACAGGTGTATCGTGTGTTGTACTTGTGCCGACGGTAACTGGCGCTCACCGCCTCGTTACAGGCTCGGTGTCTGGTTACGCCGCGTGGCGGACCGGGAAGAAAGGACGAGTGTCGGGTTCGCGGCGCTTTTCCAGTCGGCGGCCGAACCTGAGACGGTGGAGGTGGGATGTGTCGGTGTGAAGTGAGCTTGTGACGAAGGAGAAGACGTAGTTGGTAGGGCAGGACCGTTGTGAAGGAGAGGAAGGCACAATGCGGTAACGCTGAAGTTTGCAAGTCTGCTGTGGAGCCTGCCCCAAGTAAGTTCATTCTGGCACATACCTTGGTAGTTGGTACACGTGACCTCGGTGTTAATCATACCCACCATCATGATCATTTTTTTACGAATTGCGCTCTCGTAATCGATCCACGTGAATTGAGCGTGAGATGTTATGTATAATTATGTATAATGTATAACGTATTACAGTGTGTTGACTTTCTGTTGAAGCTGATAAATTATCTTTGCTGACGTCTGACTGTAAAACCGGGTCAGGGACAGCGGACCTAAAAAAATTACCTTATGATGTTTTTTTTCTCTGAACCCCATTGAGAAACTGGGCCACTTCATTTTGTGTTGCGAGCGCTAAGTCAAGATACGGGGGGGGGGGGGGGGGAGGTGGCAGACCGCTCACCGCGGGCAATCCCCTCGTACCACCGCCATTCCCGACTTATGGTGGCCTTTCCTCCC